CCCTACATTTTACAAAACTCTCCACCCCTGATAGGAAGGGACATCCTTGCTATGTTAGGAGTCAGGATTACAAATTTATAATGAGGGCCACTGCTGTACACCCACTGCTGCCCATCAAACTGACCTTCAGAACGAAATTAATGAAAAACTGTGAGTTTCGGTTTGCAGGACATGCTCGTGGACCGTCCCCGTGACGCGTACACCCCTGCTCCAGAGGGAGATGATGGACCACCAAGCCGCCAGACAAAACCCAAGAGTCCCACACCGGTGAGACCCAGACATGCACAGTGTCTTTATGCAATTTTGCTGTTGGGGCTTGTGGCTGGGGGGCAAGCCAACCCAGGCTACTACCCTCATCAGCCATTTAGGTGGGTCATGCAACATCTTTCAAGTGACAAGGTGTTCAAAGAGATCACCACAGCGAACACCCCATCCTTCGTGTTCCACATAGCCGATCTGTTTCCAGGACAACCAAAACTACGGCCCATAAACCCACGTATCGTACTCATGTACATATCCTACTGGTGCCCAGCGGCCAACCCAGGGAAAAGGTACTGCGACTACCCGGGGTGGGGACATTGCAGATATTGGGGCTGCAAAACCATTGTTACAGATGCCAGACCATGGGGAGATGGGTGGCAACCGCAGGAGCCCGACAAATTCTTACAGTTCACCTGGGCACCCTTTGGCTGTGGAGACCACAATGCACAGCCTAGATATCGGGGATGCGTAAGTTATAACATGACTGTCCTACAGCCAGATCACCCTAGTTGGGCCATGGGTAGAACATGGACAGTGGTCCTCAGAGGACCGAGGAGGTGGGTGAATGTATGAATTATCAGGCTCCAACCACCAGCACCTCGACCAGTAGGACTCAATAAAGTTATCAAGAACGTGCTAAAAGGGAAAAACACAACCCACCCCAAAACCTTGCCCCCAAAAGTCACTGACACCCTGACCGGCCTTGCGGATGCCCTCCAGATAGGCCGCACTGCTGAGTCAGATCCAAACCCAATCTTTCGTACGCTAGAAGCTACCTTCCTAACCCTAAACGAAACCAAACCGAACCTGACTAACTCCTGTTGGCTTTGCTATGATGTTAAACCCCCTTTCTACAAAGGCATTGCTTTAAACTCCCCCTTCAGTTACTCCACAGCCAGTGCCCCCCACCAGTGCAGATGGGACACTCCTCGCAGAGGAATCACCCTGAGTCAAATTACAGGACAGTGCAGATGTTTTGGCAATGCAACCTTAGCAAAGCAGAAAGGCAACTTCTGCACTAAAGTTGTCAAGCCCAACAGAAAAACCAATAAGTGGGTGTTCCCATCCGCATCTGGGATGTGGGTTTGCCAGCGATCCGGAGTGAGTCCTTGTGTGTTCCTTGCCAAATTTAATGACTCTATCGACTTCTGTGTCCAAGTTCTGACTGTTCCTAGGGTCCTGTACCACTCAGACGAAGAGATATACCATCTTCTCGAGGAACCTAACAGACTCCACAAAAGAGAAATAATCACAGGTATAACTATCGCAATGCTGCTCGGCCTGGGAGCAGCTGGCACAGCCACGGGTGTCTCAGCCATCGCAACCCAGCAGCACGGACTCTCTCAGCTGCAAATGACCATCGACGAAGACCTGCAGAGGATCGAGAAATCCATCTCCTATCTAGAGAAATCAGTCTCTTCGCTTTCAGAAGTAGTTTTACAAAATAGGCGAGGACTGGACCTCTTGTTCATGCAACAAGGAGGACTGTGTGCAGCCTTGAAAGAGGAATGCTGCTTTTATGCAGATCATACGGGAGTTGTTAAAGACTCCATGGCAGAACACCGAGATAGACTTGCTCAGAGAAAGAAAGACAGGGAAACCCAACAGAGCTGGTTTGAATCCTGGTTCAATCAATCACCTTGGCTCACCACTTTAATTTCCGCCCTGGTAGGTCCACTGGCAATACTGCTTTTAGCTGTTACCATAGGACCATGCCTGCTGAACAAACTAGTCTCGTTTGTTCAGGCCTGTGGGAGGGGGTGTGGTTGGTGACCTCCCTGCTTTACCATGGGAGGCCACAGATGTGTAGTTTTCCCGCCTCCCAAGTTGTCAGTTATCTGTTCTCCCTTCCCCCAGTTTATGTCAATCACTTTGTACCCCTTCCCTTTGTTCTAGAAAGTTCCAAGTTCTTTGTACCCCCATTGGTTCCTCCCTCGAAACCACTCCTACCCCCTGTCCCGGTTGGCCGTTGCCATGTCACTCTCCGTTGACTCCACCCTCATACCCTCACCCGGTTGGATGCTCTGTACCCTGACCCTCCTTCCCTCAACTGTTATAAACCCTGCCCCGCCCGTGGTTCGGGGCTCTCAGAGCTGGCTCGCCCTCTGAGTGGCTGTGTCCCTTCACCACCCTCGCCTTCCCTCACCGAAGCCCTCAGAATAAAAGCCTCCTGAGAGACTCTCGCCCGGTGGAAGACTCTTCTCTTTACGACCACCATCGCGTCCCCGAAGTCCCCGACCCTGTCGGAGAGACCGAGGAACGCTTTACAGGCCTGTCTAGAACGGGCAAACATTCTGTTCGTAGGCCAGCAACAAATGCTGTAAACCAAAAACTGTGAACACAGTTAGTCGCAAAAGCCTTCGAGACTCGCCTTGCGAAAATTACTCAGGTTTACCAAACCAACCTTTCCTTACCAAGTTACAAGTTTGTACCTCACTCCAGTGCCTATATCTACGACTAGCTCATTTTATTTATGAAAAGGAGGGGGGAGATGTGGTAGATAGGGACAGGCGAACGGAAGATCTCGGGATGTGACGTTATCTATCACCCCCAGAGCATGTAACCACACCTAACCCAGTAGTTTTCCACTCCCGACTAACCTAGAGACCCTACCAACCCCCCCCGACGTAGCAAAGTCCCCCAAGACTATTTAAACCCATGAGATAAGATAATAAATGCTTTTCGACCGTCCACCACATTGGTGTTAGCGTGTTGTCGTTAGCCTGAGTAGCCCGGACGAGGCCAGGCTGCCGTGCTGCCTTCTTGCAACCAGGTCACCGTTGCCTCCCCTGAAGGCAACACCCAATTTCAAGATTTTCACGGCCAACACACCAAAGAATGTGGTGGGTTTGGTGCTGGCCAATCACCAATACATTCACTTTCTGCTGTGAGACAGGATTAGGAGAAAGGCAAAGCAGGCTCAAAACTTTAAAATGGTATAAAGAAAATTTTATTAAAAGTAACTAGAGGGAAAAAAAGTAGTAAAAATCAAACTCTTCAGAACACTTCTCCCCCCACAACCTTCTCTTTCCCACTGATATGTAAAGAAACCAAACCTAAGCTCTCCAGTCAGTTTACCACCTCTAAAACAGTCTTCTGTTCACTTAGGGAGCGAAGTCCCTCTTCTAAGGTTATGGAGACTTCTCCACAAGAGGAAAAAACAGTTCTCTCGTGCCTCTCAATTTCATCACAAATAGCAGCTGCCTGAGGAACCCTGCCATCATGAAAACCTTCCCATTTCCACAAGCCTTCCCACAGCTTGTCAATGGGCCATGTTGATTTATGGGGTATTGTTGTTTTACAAATGAGTTGTTCAAAGTCAAAAGTTCTCATTGTCTATTTCTAAAAATATCTTCATCCCTGGGAACAGAGATTATCTTCTCCGGGAAGGACAGGACTACTCTTCTCTCTCTGTTCAAACTTCTCATGGGATCACAGCTATTTCAACATCTGCTTATCTTAGCATGGAGGCCATTGCTCGATACAAATTTGAACACTTTAATCTCCCCATAATTTCATACATTATAAAGAAAAAAAGTCCTTTTTCCATAGCTTACAAGAGGATTTCAGCTCCAAAAACATGGCATCTCTTCCTCTCTCCTATCTGGGACTTAACTTCTTCTTCACTTACCTTGATGTCTTTATGCTGTCCCTTTACATGCTTGCATCTTGTTCTTTTCTCTCAATCAAGGGAGGACTGAAGCACTGAAAGGGTTCACATCACGCCTGGGCTCTTCAAATGGTGACCTGACCCCCAGTCGAGCAGCTGTGGGAGGCGATTGGGATCTCATCAGCCAGGCCGGAACTCAGCAGCAGTACCCAGGATTGGGACTGGGGGATGTGTGGCCTTCTCTTTCCCCCTGCCCGATCCTTGCGCTCAACTCCCACGGGGGTAAAACCCCAGCACCAACCCGGGGCTGCTCCCGGGATGGAGCGGGTGTGGAGGGCCTGGGCTGGAGAGCTGTAGCAAGCAGCTGGGTGTGAGCACCCCTCTCCCTGCCCGGGAGCAGACAGGGGAAAGCAGGGAGAGCGGGCAGGCGGCCCGGGGAAAGGGAGCCCAGCCCCACGGCAGGGCCGTGCTACCACCTTTCTGACCGGAAGGGAAAGAGAGTTCTGGGATTTTTCCTCTTTAACATGTCTTTCGCAGAGGCGTGTCCAGCTTCTCAGTGATTCAACACTGTCAGTTGCACAAAAAGCTTCTGCATCATTTCCCTAAATTTTCCTCTTCTAAACCATGACAACAGCCTCATGTGTAGAAGTTAAAAGTTACTTATTAAAAAAAAGGGCTCTTGATTTGCAGTAGGTTAGGGGTTATTTTTCAACCAGAGTGGAGCAGCTCATCAGACAGGTGGTAGCTGAATCATAACAAGCTGTACTTTGTTCTTGAACGCTAGGATAAACACTTCCTACTCAAGCCAGCACATGGCCATTCAAAATGAGAAGCTCATCCAGTATCTGATGCTCTTTTCCCCAAAAGCCAGACTTCAAAATAAAAGAGCAGGAACCTAAGAGAAGCAGCCAGGATGCAAAGGTTGCTCAAAAGTAGGACGGTGATTGAAAGCAAGACACTTAAAATCAGCAGCAACCACCTGAGACACACTAAGCTTCTGGGATTAGATGCAGGTTTCTTGTTTTCTTAAGCTTAATGCTTGCAAAGCCTCCTGTGTCCAGCAAGAAAGTCATGAGGATTGACAGAAATTAAAGGGTCTTCACAATGGAACCATCTTTCAGCACTTGACTGTACGTTAATTAATAATTTATTAATTATGAACAGAACATAGCAGGATTATCTTGATTATGTTTTGAATTTAAAGGTTCTTTCACATAAGCAATAGCAGGAAATTGCTTGTTGCCTGCTTAATTTAGTCTTTTAACTTCACAACTAAAAGGACTTCGGAATGTCCTAACCTCCCTCCCAAATCACAATCTTTCTGCTGGCTCCTGATTGATAAACGTGCAAAACGTACAAAACATGACAAAGCAGAACAGACAACCTTTATCACTCCAAACTGTGAAGCATATAAACCATAATTCAAGCACTTACTTTCAAATACTGAACTGATGTGTCCTGCTAACTCAGTATTTATATCCTGTCACTTCTTTTCCTACTGAAATACCTGTTTTCCTTCTAAGTGGGAAGTGGGTTAGATACAGTACAGAAAGATCCACAACCCCAGCCTGAAGCCCAGCCAGAGTAACACACACAGAGCTCCAACCACAACAATCCTGAACTGTACAACTGGGTTCTTTAAATATATTATATTCTATAATATATAACTTGGAGCAAACCACATCTTAAAAAAAAAAAAAAAGCCTACAGAAAAAGACTAGGTTAAAAAGAACAATATCATCAAGAAGATGGACAGGCTATTAGCCCTTGGCAAGCTGGACAATGAATGTACACAAAACACGCTGTAGAGAACCAAAAGGATATGGTAGAGATCTGTAAGGCTTTCTACACTTTTATTCTTCTCCATCTTTTGATGGACATATTTTGATCTCATTCAGCACATCTTTTGATCTCATTCAGTTTCAAGGTCATGTCAGAACAGTCACAAATTCATCTCCAGTATGTGCAAAATTCAAAAATATTTACATAGATAAAACTGCAAAAGTAAAACCAAAACTAACAGCCACGGTCATGGCTTGAAGTATTTCTTCAGAACCCAAGAGACAACAGTTTGGGTGTATTTTAAAACATATTCCAACCTTTTAAACCAAGGCACAGTTTGTTTCCACTGATAAAAAGGTTTCTATGTTGAAGAAAGCTAAGAGAGGATCTTTCTTCTGAATATCAACTTTTTCCTTTCCAATACAGTCCCATTTGCTGACAGACTTGTATCTCATTTCCCTCTCCTCCATGGTCACTCACTCTATTTCAGAAAAAAAACACTTTGACTATCACCGTGTCTTTGACAGTAACCTGACACGAATGTGAGTTACAGTAACTCTGGTGTCAAAGACACCATCCTGAGTCACTAGGTAACAGTAGTGACAGCCAGACTCCAGTAAAAGCAGACATTTTCTCCATGACTTTGAAAAGCCACTGAATAACCCCTTCCAAGCAACCTTCCCTGCTTAATGAAGATCCAAGATAACTGCTTTGTCTACAACTGAAAATGCACAGGAACTGTATTTGCCAAAAGTCCTTTGGATGGAACAAGTACAAAGAACAGCAAGACATTTCTTAAATCATAAATTCTACAGAACCTGGATTTACATATCTGGATTGAAACATTTTGTTTTGCAGGTACAGCATGTTTTTGTTTTGGTTTGGTTTTGTTTTGTTTTTGTTTTTTTGGTTTTTTTTTTTTTTTTTTTCCTGTGGAATTTCTACCCAGACATGGCAGTGCTGACCCTAGAGAAGCAAGGGCAGAACCCAGTCCAATTCCAAGCCATGGCTGGGGTTAGGCAGCCGCAGGTGGTTGGTTGGATGGAGGATGACAACAGGCTCAGGGAAGTTCTTAGAAAGTGATCCATGTTCAAACCAGTGTTTACAGCTGATCCTGAGTCTGCTTTGGAGATGGAGCTGTTGTCACAACCACAGTGGACACTGCTTTAGTTGAGCCAGAGACTGTTCCCTGCTGGAGCTGGGAGGCTGGAACTGTTTGAATTCGCACCTGTGTGAAATGGAAAGAAATAACTCATCTCAAGAACAACCTGGTGACACAATGACTGCACTTACATTGTGCTCTGGTGAAGTACCTGCTTCTGCTGCCAACAAAAACTCACTTATTGGAATGACATCAAGCACCAAAAACACTGCCAGAACAGAATATGTCATAAGAAGATCATTTCATCCACTGCTCACATGAGATGGTGACAGGAGATTTCCAGATTAGAGAGGAAGGCTGGAAAACTAGTTTGAATAAAAACCTGTATGTCAGCTGCCTTTATGCATTTTCAGAAGAAGGACTTGGATCCATTGGATATCTCACTTCTACAGACTTGTTAATATCAGCTGTCAATGCAGATTAATTATTTGGAATTATGGATCACTAAGTTTCCAGACAGAACGATGGATATGCAAAGCAGTTATGTGATGTCTTCAAGAAAAAGTGACCCACAAAAGCCAAAGTACAAAGCACTACAAAGACTGCTGCGTGTATAGAAAAATCCTGACAAGACCTTTGGTTTTACATTACTTATACTGGCAATGCTTCAAAAACATCTTAAAACTTTATTTGGATGGAGAGAATGTAAAGGTGATGATAGATTCCATGTGCTTAATGCAGGCACTACAACCAAGCTGTGTGCCTGGTTTTTTTCTGCAACGCCATGTATCCAGTGTAAAGTCCTCATGAAGATGTTAGGTCATTAAAAAGCAAATAGAATGATCATTCTAGGTGCCCTTACCTGTGTGGCTTGGCCTTGCTGCTGCAGCTGCTGTAGTTGCTGTGCAGTCAGAAAACTCACAGGCTTGTTCCCAGCAATCAGTTTAGTCCCTGCTGGCATTGTAGTCAGGATGATATTTCTGCCTAATCCACTGATGCTAAGGAAAAATAATTGTTGAAAGGTTAGTAAACAGCACAGCAGGCTCAATCTTTCCAACTCCAAACCATTCTTCAGTTGCTAGTAGATTATAGTTCTACCACATGTACTAACCATTTTAAGTGGTGGGTTTTCTTTCCCCCCATAAAACTGGCAAATGCATGAGCGAAAAGCTTATGTCAGTATTTATAACCGACAGAGAATTAATTTAGCACACAAATCACACCCATTAACTCTGGACCATGCATACACTGGGTTAGACTGATCAGACCTGAACACTTCTCAATGCAGGAAACAGCTGAGTACATGAAATATTAACTAAAGGAGACACTATCAGAATTTATGGAAGAATTAACAAAAAGCCTTCAATATCTGAATGCCAGAGGAATTCTCACTAAGGAAGTTAACTTCTCTTGAATGGAGAGATGGCCTCAGATTACACGTATTTTTCAGTGTGTTAATTCTTGCTCAAACACACAGAAATAATCGAACAGCTGATTTCAAGGCACAGAATGCTTCTTCTTCGGTGTATTTGCTAGAACTTGCGTCTCAAAATAAATAACTAAAAATTGCAATCTCATTGCAGACACCATATCCACTCAGTTTCTTGCAGCTGATGGGCCTGTTCACAGACTGGAATCCTATTCCAGCCTCTGACTGCTTGCTCCCCAGGAACCTTCCAAACACAGACCTTCCTCAGCCTATTTCTAAAGCAAAACTACAAGATGCAAAGCACTCACTTGGCACCGAGGTTGCCCTTGATGATGGGGGCAGTGACCACGCTCTTGCCCTTCACTGGCTGGCTGATCACTGACAGGGGTACTGTGATCCGTGTTGGAAGTTTGCCCTAGGGAATGGGAAGAACACATGAGGAGCCATGGGAAGCTCAGCAGAAAAGCCGCTTGACAACATCTGCTGCTTTGTGGGAGTCCTGTGAGCAGAAACCAGCAGCAGCTTTGCTGATGGAATCTGTGCTCCAGTTCAGGCTCCTTAAAATTCACCTCCCTCTCATTCACTATACAGCTGCCTGGACCCTGAAAATCCACATAATCTTTGCACCACAGGATCTGTGATTTTCATCCTTAGGAAACAATCATGTCATTTAGCTTATGTAACCACAATACAGTTTATGGTACCTTCAGATTTGGGCACTAAAATAGCATTAAAGGGCAAAATCAGTAAAAAACTTAATACTTAAGTAACAAGCACTTCTAGTTCTGAACGCTCTATGACACCATTCCAAGGTAAATTATTGCTAAGGTGTGGGCTGCATGAGACACAGAGCTGCATGAGGCAGGACTTCAGATATGCAGTTTATTTCATTCACTTGAAAAAGGAGATAAGGGAAGTATCTGACTTTTTGGGGGCATTTAGCTGCGATTTGAACACCATGAAATGAGTTGCAGATTCATACCCAGAATACAAGTTGTGGCTGGCCCATTCCTCGAAGTGTTCAAGGCTAGGTTGGATGAGGCTTGGAGCAACCCAATCTAGTTGGCAGCATCCCTGCTCATGGCAAGGGATGGCACTGAATGAGCTTTAATGTCCTTTACAACCCAAAATTTACTACCTAAATACAACCATTGTATGACTGCCATATTAATTTGAGTCTCTGTGGATGCAAAGAGCAGTTTTCAGCCATAGAATATCACTGTATTTTGGCACCCCCCTTCTTTCCCCACCCCCAGTGAGAACTCAGCATTACTCACTGCCTGGGATGTAGATACCACTGTGGTGCTGACGGGCACCTGCCGCACAGCTGTGGCTCCTGTGCCAATGTTTATGGGGGTTCCCGCAGCTCCTGAGGCCACAGCAACTGCTTTGGACACTGTGGCACTCACGGTGGGTAAGGAGGTGTGGCCTGTGCCAGCAATGCTCACCACCGAGGACGACTGCACCTGCTTAGCATGAGTGGCTACAGTTATGGTCTGCCCGGCTTTGGGGGGTATTACCCCCAGCCCCTGCACAATTCTGATCGTGGCAGCTGGCTTGGCTTCTGTGGATGCCACTGTGGTTATGGCTTTGCTCTTCTGGTCTGCCACAGTCACGCCCAGGGCAGGCATCAGGCGGAAAGCAGAACTTGTCGGCTCTGCAGTCTTTAAGTCAGGAGTCACTTTAACCACAGTGCCTCCGGCTGAGCTGGCAGAGGCAGGAGACACCGTGCTTGTCTTGGCTGAAGACTCAGCAGTCTGGACAGGGTTGGATGTCACATGCAAAGTTGCAGAGATGCCTTTCCCACCAGCACTGCTTCCTGCAGCTGCTGTGAAGAGGTCCTGAGTCAGTTTGACAGTAGTGACTTGAGACTTGGCCAGGGTGGCCATCATATCTGGAGTGATGCGCAGCACCGTTTGTCCCTTTGCGTCTGTGGTGATGGAGGATGGGGGCAGGCGCAACACATCCTTCCCTTGGATCCGAAAATTGGTTGCTGTGAGTGGGATGCCACTTCCAGCCTGGGTCTTCATGCCAAGTTGTCCTGTAATAGCCACCTGTGAGAGATCAGAGAAATGGTTCCATCAAACTGGGACAAGGTCCAAGGCCCACTCAAAGCAGAACTTCCCAACAGGATGATATTTGTTCCCACTGGAATGCAAGTGGAATAAGACTAGCAGTCAGTACACTAATGAAAATGGGTCTGGTTGTTTATCAGATGGCATTCCAAATCCCATCTGAAATAGGAAATACTGGTGGGGCTGGTTTCTTTTCCAAACAAAATGAAGAAGAGATCACTAAAGAACCTGCACAAACATATCTTTCACCTGCATGTGAAAACAAAACCAGTAACTGTGTCAGCCTGCACAGTCCATCAACTCACATAGCATTACAGCTCCCAAATGTTCACATCTGCACAACAGGAAACAATCAGGTTGTGGAGCCCAATTCCAAGTCTCTCCCTTCCTCTCACCTGCTTGATGATGTTCTGGCCAGCCACATTCTGAATAATAGTGGTGGAGGAGGTGCTGGCAGCAGAACTGCCTGGAGAGCTGGTCACTGGCTTCACAGCAGGGCTGGGCATTGCAGGCAGTCCCGTCACAGTGATACCTGCCTGGCTGGCCATGGAGCTTCCTGCTCTCGGCACCTGCACAGGGCTACTTTGAGCTTTTACGGGCAGAGTCATCACAGCCTATAGAAGAGAGGAGGAAGAGTATGAGCAGACTACCACAGTAGGAACGGTCTAGTGATTCTTTGTATTGTGTTAGCTTGCAAGTTCAGGGGAGTTCACAAGAATTCTCTTGCAAGGATTCCAACTGCTTGGAATTGTAGTGAGGTGGGTGTCAGTTTCTTTTTCCAGGTAATAAATGACAGGACAAGAGGAATTACCCTCGAGTTGCATCAGGGAGTTTAACTTGGATGTTAGGAAATTTCTTTCCATGGAAAGGGTTGTATAACACTGGAACAGACTGCCCAGGGCAGTAGTGGAGTCACCATCCTTGGAAGCATTAAAAAAAATGTGTGGACCATGCACTTAAGGATATGGTTTAGTAGTGAACATAGTAGTGTTGCTGTGTTCATGGCCAGACTTGATGATCTTGACAGTCTTTTCCAAGCTTAATGATTCTGTGATTCTAAGTTCTATGGCCTTTTTATGTAATGCACAATTTAATGATGCCAGGTAACTACATGAAAAACAGAGCACTGAACAGTATTGCATATGTAAAACTGTTTCTGTGCTCGTGCCTGCAGTTAGCGCATGCTCCAAATAAGCACAGAATGCCTGTGCATCACACCAGAACACCACAAGTCAGATTAGATGTCAGATACTCTTACCCCTTCCAACTCACCTGAGGGAGCACTTTGGTTTGTGTGGCTGTAGCTGGAATACGGATTTGAGGCACTGACGTGGGCTGCTGCTGCTGGGTGACCACTGGGGCTTGCTGGGACATAGCTGGCAGGCTGGATTGGGCAGTGACCACACGGACCTGTGGCAGGCCTGAAGAGCTGCTGTGACTGACTACACGCGGGGTGGGCGCTGGCCCTGGCTGCACCTGTGAGCTCTGAGCTGGGGACAGCAATGTCCCCAGCTGGGGCATGGTGGGAGAAGACACCAGGAGAACGCTGCAGAAAGACAGTGCTAGTAGGTCAGCAAAGATGTAAGAAAATACACACAATCACAGAATCACTGAGGTTGGAAAAGACCTCTGCGATCATTGAGTCCAACCTGTGACTGATCCCACCTTGTCATCCAGCCCAGAACACTGAGTGCCATGTCCACTTTGTCCTTGGTCACCTATAGAGATGGAGACTCTACCACTTACCTGGGCAACCTCTTCCAATGTCTAATCATGCTTTGTGAAGAAATTTCTCCTGATGCCCAAACTGAACCTCCCCTGGTACAGCTTGAGACTGTGCCCTTGTCATGCTGCAGTTTCCTGGGTGAAGAGTCCGACTCTCATCAGCCTCCAACCTCCTTTCAGGGAGTTGCAGAGAGCGGTAAAGTCACCCCTGACCCTCCTCTTCTCCAGGCTAAATAACTCCAACTCCCTCATTACTGAATTATACAAATTACTGAAAAACAGCCAGCAGCATTCCCAAATGACATAGGGGACAGAAGCAGTACCTCTGGCTGGGTTTTGCTGGCTCTGACCCAGCACCAGATACACTCTTGCCGACTGCAGACACCGGTGGGGGTGAGATGGGTGTTGCTGGCAATGCAGGGGCAGTTGGTGTCACTGGAGTCACAGGAGTCGGTGGCATGCTGGAGTCACTGAGGCTCAGCTGACTAGGTTCTGCTGTGCTGGTGGGGAGGGCTTTCACAGTACTCTCCTTGCTACTTGACTTCTACAAAGAAACCACATCCAGCATCACAAAATCTGGGGTTAATTGCTGCACCTTACAGTAGGCTGAGTACTTCAACCTGACTTCTGTATGGTGGTGAATGGCTCTGCTGTTAAATCATGGTATCAAACATGACTGACTGCCTTTCCCCAGCTACAGCCCTGGATGAATTGGTGTGTTTGGCTTCTGCTCTCAGGGAAAAGTGCACCTGAGTTGTGACAAACATTCAGAACATGCAGACTTCCACTTTGGTTAATGTGTCAATAGACAAGTATTTCAGAAAAATTTAATATCAGACATCCAAACACTGATGGTTTCAGCAAAGCAAGGAAGAGAACAGATGTGTTCCACACACTCTGTTACAAATTAACCTCAAAACTAGATCTGAAAGACTATCCCTTTGATAGGGAGCACAAATGAGAGGATAGCAGTAGAAGCTGTGTGGAGGAAAAGTTCCCTCTCTCCCTGTTCATTTTGTGCACTGACTGATTCATACACATCATAAATTGCTAACTCAAAAGTGGTAATTTTCATCACTTGCTATGGATGCAGAATTTATGGATTAAATTAAGACTAATCTCCTTCTCAATCCCAAAAGCAGCTGTGCAACCCTGAGCAAAGAAATCTACCATTTTAGCTGGAGGTTTTGGCTTCTGAAGAGCTTTCTTGGCCTTTGCTGCAGCAGCTTGAGCATGATGGATCCGTTCTGCAAGGACAAATTAATGGTTAGAGCTCCTGAACACAAGCATACTCATTTAAGGAAGATACTAGGTAAGAGGTGCAGATTCTTCTTCAGACAAGGAATTAAACACACAGTCATGTAACACTGCAAAAAAAAACATCTAGTAAATTAGCCAAAAAAGGCTGAAAATAAGACACATAAGAATATACATCTGCAGTTCTTGGGATGGTATTTTTCAAACAAATGCTTCAAAGTGACACACTGCTCTCTCAGACTGGGTTTAAGTGCTGAAGGAGTTAACAACATAAGCAAACTGACTAAGGAAAAAAGCTAGACTGACAAATTAATGTTCATTGTCCATCTTTATAAACATTTTTAATTCTTAAGATATCGCCAACCCAAACGTACCAAACTCTTCCTCGCTCCTGTCCCGGTGCAGGTAGATCCACAACTTCCGCCCAATATCGTATTTCACACAGGGATCTTTCTCATAATGCAATCGGTCCAGAGCACCACTAACAACAGTGTTAACCTAAAGTTCAGAATTCACAGATTACAAGATATCCTTTGCTGGACTAGCCAAGACTGACAAATAGAAATGATCCTATTTGGTATAAAACCTGAGTAAGCTGTGAACAGTCTGAGTGAGAAGTGACTGAGGGCAGATATTGAAGCACAGGGTGGTGGTTGCCACCTTGGGTTAAATGGAGCTTCCACCAAAGCTCTGAAAATTGACTGTTCCTCAATCTAAAATGTGAGCAGCTCTATGACTTTGTTAACTCTGTGGCTTTTCTAGCCGGCTTTTCATCAACCAAAGCTGGTGCAGATTTACAGCAGCTCATCACAGAAGTACACAGCTAGCTTCCTTTTGCTCATCACAGCAGCATAAAAACTATTGGGCCTTTGCCACTGAATATTGCCTGGAGTGTATTTTATGAGAATCTGAGGCCAGACATGACATCCAACTTACCTGTGCACTTGTGACATCTGGAGCTAGGAACTGGGAATCTTTCAGCAGCTCACATATTTCAGCTCGAGTTCCCTCCCCATTAGGAAGGCGAGCAGCAGCATCACGAACTGAAACGCAAAACCAGAGCTTAAACTTCCAGCTGTAACTGGACAGCAGTACTCAGGTACTCCATCAGATAAATTCTGGGACTGCTCTATTACCCTTGCTCTCACAGTGCCTACTTGCTCAAAAGCCCCAAAAGTCCCCCAAAAATAGGAGAAATTATAAAGGATCCTTTTAAAATACATCAACTGTGCCAACTTTGTGCTAATAGTGATGAATTTGAGGAAAAGCTTTCAACCCCAATACAGATTCCTGAAGTAGCTGTTTTAGGGGTCAGAGGAATGATTTTCTTCTTTAGAAAAGTTTTCCTAGCCATGACCTTACCAAGGGATAAAATGGTGACATATGCTGGTCTGTCTGAGCGCAGGAGAGAATGTTCCCGGGCTTTGTTTAAGGAGGTTTCCTTGTCAAACACCCCCTTCACAGGACCAACAACTGACTCGAAGCCATGCATCCGGAAGGTGAAGGCTTTGTGGGGTTGGCTGTAACGGTAACGCTCCTGGAGATGGACAAATGAGCACTGACTTTACCAGGAAACATACAGCAAAGCCTTATGTCATATTACCAAGTAAGTTGATATCATTCTCTAGAGAAAGCCTTTTTAAACTAAACACTCAAATACTGCTATATAAACTTATTTTGGATCAAGAAAATCACAAACTACTTCATGCAAAGTACAACGCTCCACCTAAGCAAGGTATACAGGTGCAACACATTCACTGTCGAGCAGCTGCACAGACTAGAGAGGTGCCAGAAATACAAGAGATGCATCTTCTGTCCCCTTCCTCCTTTCATCTGGCTGAAGAAAGATCTCCAAAATTTAAATTATAAATTCTGCAGACAGCACATGGAGAGACAGGAGAAGAATCCCCATCATGTGCTTTCCCTCTAATTCCCACTTGCATCTACAGGTAAGATAACTAACTGGATGGGTGCACTTATTGACACTTATTTTTTGCTTGCACATATACATGCCCAAAAAATAAAGAAGTAAGTGGGGGATGGAGAGGGATGGCAAAGGAGACCGAGGGGTTGGCACAACCAACTGACACTATCAATTTCATTAATTTTACCCAATTAGTGTTTATGAAATTAATTTTACCCACTGGAAATACTGATGGTTTAGAAACAAGGCTATGTCATTAGCAAGTTTTATGCAAGGCCAAGATACTGACTTCAAAGCAGAAGCAACATATCAATTCTTCACATTAACTACATTTGTGTAGAGTATAAAACTGCCATCCTACACAAATTCTCCTGATTTAGTGGCCAACTGTTTTAACAAGTGCCTTTAAAATGAAGATTCTCTTCTTACTTGCTCTTGAAACACCCGTTTCTCCTCTCCAGTGCTAGGCCGGACTACATAGTCAGTCCTTCTGAAACAAAGGGCACCATCAGTTCTGAGCACAAGAAGCCCACAACAGTCCCAAACAATTATTAGCCTCATCCTTCTGAAAATTCTTCTGAAAAAATCCTTAAAGCATTTATGGTAACAAAAGTAAGCCCTGCAGAGATCTTAAAATATGCTGTGTGCACTACCTGAAGTCAAGCAAGGACTATAAATAATCTCATTAGCAGAACCTAAGCTAGACTGCAGCTTTGCTCTGATAATATATGTGAACTTGGATAAAATTAGTCAATTTCATGAAGTCCAGTTACTGCATTTATAAAATCAAATTATCAAATTTTCTACTGTCCCATGATGTAGAATTGTTTTATTTTAAGATCCAGAGGCACAAGGCCCAAATCTCACAGCTTCAGCAGCACTACAAAAGCTTTCAGTGTTACACACTTACACTCTGGGCAGTGGCATGGCATCCAAACTGTCTTCATTTTCCTATTGAGAAAGAAATGTCAATGTTGGGTAGAACACAGTCAGGTTTTGTGCTCCAAGAAGTTAATTTTTGTCTCACTCACTTTGAAAAAAGTCTGGTCTTTGGTCTCCAGCCAGAGATGAAACAGTGCTGCCAGTTCCTTCTCATGATCTTGGTAACTTCCTATAAGAAACCACAAAAATGTAAAAATAGAACTCTTTTAATTCTTAGGAAGCCAGATGCTTGTAATTCGCAGTCCTCTCCTGTTCCCCTTATCTCCTCAATGCATCACTAGTCACAGATGTTCAAACTGCAATATTTGAACACCTCCAGACTTAGGAAATGCTAAATCCCAGTGATTCCCCTGTGCTGGTACAAAATATGGTGCTTCAACTCCTAGCACAGAAGGCAAGATGCTGTTTGGGATACAGTCACCTGTTCCCACTCTCCAAAGTAATCCCAGTTACTTAATCCATGAGCAGAAACACTTGCCTACATAACCTCCACCAAAAACTGCGAAAGGGGATCAGAGGAAAAGCTTCCTGACTACATATCTCTCCCAGTAGAAGCTGCAAATATAATCACTAGAATCACCACAGTTAAGAATGAAAAATTCTGTGTAGTAACTAAAGGAATGAACATAAACACAGATCATCTGTAGTTCAATCAGTATGAGTCTGAGCACATTGATCATTAAGTTGCTCTTTGGTTCCCACTTTTAAAAATGAGAATAGTATCAGTTTGCTCTACAGAGAAGCTTAATTCCTTTGCAATTGTAATAATTACTAATTACTCTGAATCATCAGAAGGCATGCTCTACAGAAGGGAAAGTATGAAGGTGTTCAGACAAATTTGAAGGTTGACAAACATGGTTAAGTCAGCAACAGAAAGAAATACAGCCCAGTGCCTTTGTTCATTTATGCTCTGTCTGCTACCAATACTGACATCCTATGAACACCTCAAATCCAAAACATGTATTAGCTCAGCTGAAAGAAAAGAAAATGCCTAACCATGGAATTAACAGCTCTGTTTCTCTCCAGGCTGCAGAAAGATGAAAAGTAAAGTCCTAGAGAAAACAACAAACCATTACTATAGTACACATCATAGAAGAACACAAGGTACTCACCAAGCAATTTCCACTGCTGAGTTTTCTCCTTGAATTCAACAAAAGGTGAGAAGCTGGAAGGAGCATCTACAGTGACAAATGTACATGTCGGGACATTATACCATTGTCCAACCTCAAAAACCTACTGTGGTTATGCAAACTGTCAAGTGAAAGACTCACAGTGACAGAGAGCATTTTAAATGATTATGTAAGTGCATCTCTAAATTTATCCTTGCCCCTGGGAAGGGGATAGGATCCCTTTATCACCTTGTGAAGGTGAGCATCTTAGAGTGTAAGGGCAAGCACAAGGAAAGAACAGAACAGGATAATGAGCCTTCCAACAACAGGCTGTCAGCTGAGAGCCTGTTCCTGCTGTTCACCATGTTCAGATGAGAAAATGGGATGAGAAAATTGCCAGTTGAGAACTTTATCTTCAAACTGAAGAGGAAAAAGAAATATGAGGCCCCAGGGACTGTTATTGTACAGTGAAAATTCATGGGCTCATGGGAAGAGAACTTGAGATTTATTGAGTATTCACCAGCATTATGGACAATATGCTGCAAGGCTACCACAATCTACTGTTTCTGCCTTTAAAACTTCCCACTAAGCAAATTAGAACCATAGAATAATTCAGTTTGAAAGGAATGGCAAAAAGTCAGCTGGCCCAAGCCCAAGGTGGGTCAACCTCATGTTTCAGTGGATTGCTCAGGGTATCATCTTGTTTGATTTTTATTATCTCCAAAGACAACTACAACTTCACACTCTGGGGGAAGAGACTAATTCCTTCCTGCTTCAAACACCCTACCTAAGGCCATGATCAGAACATGAGAAACTGTCTGTCTAGAGGAAATTTCATACTTGGGAATCATGCTGGGTCTTATCTATTATCCACATGCAAAACAAGTCGACCACAACTAAGACATGTCATCCAAACAGCCTCGCACAGAAACACTGCCAACAATACAAGGATTTTTTGTGACAATGAATGAAAAAATTGATTCAAGCTATAATGCAAACCAGCACTGACTAGAACAGAGGAACAAGCACAATTAGTATTTTTAACATCTCTTCTTACCTCTGCTATCACCTGCCAAATACTGCAAGGCAGGTAAAACCAATTCAGACCAATTAGGGGCAAAGGAGAACCAGTTATTTAGTGCACTGGCATGAGAAGACTGCCAATCAAGAACTTTGTCTTCAAGCTGAAAGGAAAGATAATTGTTTTATTAATGATTTCACAAGTTTAACCTATGACTGTCTTCACAGAAAACAAACCAGCTGAACATATGCAGGGAATAGAAAGGTTTTCATGTACATGAAATAATCATCTGACTTTTTCAAGTAACCACAGCACCAAAGAAGGGGAAAACACTTCCCCATCTCTGCCCTAAATATAGAAAATATATCTAACCATGATCTATAGAATGGGAATGGAAAGACTCACAGATTCCACTGACTAAACTCATGGAACATGTTAAAACCAGAATGTAGCAGCACTTCCCCAGGGTTTAATTTCTTTAATATGTAATCTAAATCTTGTAATTTACAGCAAAGTAAGTCTGAAGAAAAGTCACTATTACAAAGCTGTAAGCTCCTCTATTCTTTGATTTTGCTTCCTGCAAAGATTCCTAGTAAGTGGGTGGCTCCTTACCACAGAGAGAATAGCAGGTCCTTCCAGAAACAGTATCTCCAAAAGAAGGAAAAAGAAGCTGGATGATATTTCATTTATTTCAAGGCATGGTTTCATATCTTCAAGAGGTCTGCAAAAGAAAACATTCAAAAGAAAGAGAATGCAGAGTTAAGTCCTCTGAGTAAATATTCACCTCCATATACAAAGACGAATATCACATATTTTACACATCCCAGACTGCATGAAAACACAGCCTGCAACAGTCCCACAAAAATGTGAGCTGAAAGATGTCTTTTCCATCCATGCAAAGTGTTCAGGCCCCTCTGGAACACTTACTCTTCTTTGACAGATGACAGAGGGAGGGGGGAAAAGTCCTGAGACATTGATGGGAGTCCATCTGCATTGCCAAGAGCGTCAGCCAAATCTTCCACCTCAGATTTAATAATCTTTGGCTTCTTTTTTTTCTTATCTTCCTTGTCCTTCACCTTTTTCTTGAGGGTTGCGATGTCAAATAAGGCTTCAGATATGATAAAAGTTAAAAAGAATACTTAGACAGCTTCTTACTACACCTTACTGAGAGTCATAAACTATTTAAGTATGTATCTAGAAATGTATGTTGTGTGCACTCATTCACACCTCAACCATTCCACCTTTCCAGCTGCTGTCATAAATCTTCACTTTTCCCCTCAACAGAAAACCTCTAGTTTTTAAACCAACATATGTGAAATAAAAAAAGCAAAGGATCCACCGACTTGCTAAGGAACCTTTCCTGCCAGCATTCACTCGAGTCATGATGTCCTCAAGGGTCAGGTCTGTCGTGACTAGATCAGGGTGATCCTACGCAGGAAAATGGTAGAGAAATTAAACTGAGAAAAGACAAAGTCTTAAGACAGCAACAAGGTGAAGAAGTACCCGAGTACTAAAATGCACCAAACTCAACCAGGATCAGCTTATTACATTATTTACTGCAATAAAAGTTGAAAGTCTTCTAACTCTAATCCAAAATTTTGTCCCTCCAAAACACGTAACTAAAATTACAAAATCCTTCTACCAAGATAAATAGGGCCAGGAGCTGCATGTATACACTGAAAATTGAACCCAGGTTGCAATAAAGAGCTAATGGGTGGGTGCACACAAAAAATAGCAATCATTTTGTCACTCAGAAGTGCCCTGATCTTTATGGCAAAGAAACAAAAATATCAAAGTTAAAATGTGGTCCCACCCCCCCAAGACTTTTTAGCATCTTACAGGCTGACGTTTTCGTTTCTCATGGTGTTTCTTCAACATCATCTTTAAATCACTTTCCCCAAGTTCTATCTTGTCTGCAATGAAAATAATTATTGGCAGTTTTCCACTATTGTTACTGTCCACACTTCTTAGAATGCCATTTTCTATCCATTTACACTTCCAGCAACCTCCAAATTTCAGTAACTAATTTCTCCATCTATGAACTTCCTTCATTTGTTCATTCCAGTGCTTCATTCAGTCATCAGGCTTCACTGCTGATACAAGCAGGAAAAAGAAGCCAGAACCAGCTTGAAGAGTTTGCAGAATTGATTACAGTCACTATAGGAGGGATTCTCAAGTATTTTGAATTGGACTACACTAATGCTTCAACCACTAAAGGCCAAATATGACAGAGGAATCAGTAATATTACAGAAACCATGACTCTTGTGTTCAAATACTGGCCTTGCAAGAAGAAAATGATAAAACTGGGAAAAGAGCCAACTCTTCTGGAGACTACAAAAATGAAGCATCCCCATCAAACAACAGATTTTAAAGGTGATTTCTGGCAATGTCTCAAGGTAATTCTCTCCCCTCTACCCATACGGACCCTTTGTTTGGCTCTCACCTGCAGTTTTCATGTCCAAGGTTGACAACGTGGGGATCACTCTCAGGGGGAATGGTGGACTTGAACAACGTGCTGGAGAACTTGGAGGCCAAGAGATTAGATCTAAAACAGAGGTATAAATTTACTTCTGCAAGATCTATCTCCAATCTGTTTAACTATTACCATGTGTTTATTAGATCCCAGCCAGTGGAAGTAGAGCCCAGAATCAAAAATGTGTCTTTTTCCATGCACACCTGGAGTCTTCAGTACAGCCCAGGGCATTACCTTCTTCATCAGAAGACAAGGTAGTGTCCCCACACTCCTCTTTCACTTCCCTCAGGATCTTCAAGTAGCGCCGATGCGTCCGTCTGTCTCTTTCTTCTGAGTCGTATGTTGGTGGGAAGTGCTTTCTCCTTAGGGTCATGTCAGGGCCTCCTTTCCTGGCTAATTCCAGCAAGTGCTGAAAGGAGAGACTCATGTGACATCAGCTATGTCAGCTACAGTGCAGTAAGCCAGGACAGGTAAGCCCAGCTCAGATAACTTCCAGCAAGGTTACCATGTGGTGCCATCAGCACCTCAGATCTGTACAACGGGAACATTAAGAAGTATCTGCCACACACAAGATTTTAAACCTAGCATTTTAGACTATAATTTAAAGGGGAGGAAAAAACAGGTGAAATTTCTGCACCTTCTTCTGCACACATAACTCTGTCATTTTACGTGATGTGTTGACAAGAACTTAAATCATTGGTGTGAGGCGTAGTTTCCACACAAACAATCTAACAATGTGTCCTTTGAAAAAACCGTTTTACCTCTCATGGCTACAAAGAAAATAACTTCCTATGTATTCCATACTGTTGCCCAATTAAGTTGTGGATGCCCCATCCCTGTAAGTGCTCAAGGCCAGAAGCAACCTAGTCTAGTGAAAGGTGTCCTTGCCCATGGCAGGGGATTGGAATGAGATGAGCTTTAAGGTTTCTTCCAACTCAAATAATTCTGGGAGTCTCTATTTCCCCCAACATTGTAGGGCATGTTAAAAAGACATCTTTTTCATCCCTACATACCAAATGTTTCAATGTCTGTGTGTAATGAAAGATAAATGAGCAACAGACACATTTCAGTTGGCAAAAATTTGCTCACAGAAGTATCCATAGAGGAAGACTTTACCAGGGATTTGCAGGAATGAGAATCAGAGGTTTAGATCCACATATTTTCTAACTGTATTTAGCAATTGTAGTTGCTTCAGAAATGGTAAACAAACAAAGGCAGAATGACTTGTTAAGAAAATACTAAGTTGTAAAGGTGCAAATGCAGGAAGTGGGAAACAGGTGGACATGAAAAGAAGACGGGTCGCACAACTAAGAGCTACAAGAGTTATACAACCCAAAATCTGCAAATATAGCAACGGGTCTGGAGTTCCCTCTGGCCCACTGGAAAATCCAGAAGCATTACTCATTCAGTTCATTAAAGAAAAGGCCTCAGAGAACTGTGACTGCACTTTTAATAAAGACATTTTTAATAAAGACAAGTTATTCCTCCCAAAGCACACTCACATTGCGGGAAGCGAGGATCTGCTTGAGCAGCCTGTAGAAGTACTGCTGCTGGGCACTCAGGTAGCGCTTGTACTGTGACTTGTAACAGAGCTGCCGGTACTTCACCACCTCGGGATTGAAGTGTCCATCTGTAACAAAAACAAAACACATGGCTGGGTTTTCAACTGCTAGCTGAGAACTTGCCCCAAACCCACAAGGAAGCTCACAAGGCTGACTGACCCCGGAAGAGTTTCTGGGCAATGTGCAGTGGGTTCCCAAAACGAAAGTTCTCCCCACTGAACAGTGCTGAGATGAGCTTGTTCTGATGCTCTTGGTTGTTCTCAGGGAAGTGAGGCAGGAATTTTTTTAGGTGCTCTTGCTGCTCATCTGTCAGGACCTCCTGCCACGTTGACAAGCTGACAACCTCAAAAAAGATCTCAGGCTAAAGAAAGCAAGGAAAAACAATAAAGAAAGCCATGTCTTTGACCATTTTCTAGCCCTTGACGATTTTTAAGTAACACCAGTCATGAGACAGTGTTTTATAAAACACAGGAAACAGTCGAGTATAAAAAGGAAAAGTCAAGAAATTGATACTACTAACAAGAAAACAAATTCAAAGCTTGTAACACTCTTCTTAAAGGCAATTTAAAAATAATAAGAACATAACAGAATTGATTTAAAAGAGATTGTCCTGAGATTAATCAAACACTTGACACTTTTCCCAAGGTAATCAAAAACACCTCCCCTTTCCAGTTTGCTCCATGAGCTCCATAAAGGAAGTTAAACATGTTGTTATGATAAGGTGAAGTGTCTCAGCACTACTCACATCCTCCAGGAGGTCCTCAGGCAGACTGATCCGTGTGGTGCCCAGCATGCAGTCCTCCATGATCTGTGTGCAATTGCCCTCCAGCTCCAGGGGGTCTGTAAGCATGTGATCCAGGGAATCCATCCTCCAGCCCTACTGCTCCTGGACAATGACAGCAAAACCCTCAACAAACAAAAATCCCAAACCCAGATACATCAGATAAACCCATCCAGATGTGAGGAGTGACAGAAGACCCACCTTTGATGGGTGGTTGTTTAAATGGAAGCTGTGGAGTTGGCCTGCAATATCTATGCATATATATATATACATATATATCTGTATATATATGTGTATGTATGTATACATACATACACATGTATATATATATATCAAATTCATACATACGCACACACATACATATACATAAAACATTCATATAGAAGCATTTACTCTTCAATTACAACACAGGTCATGCCAATGGAGAAGTGCTTTTCCAGACAGGTAGGTTGGGAAGTACAGCTGACCCAGCACACTTTCCTTCCCACCTGCAGGAACTGTTTTCAACACTGCTAATCAGCAGGACAGACTACATTTAAGTCCTGAAGGCGGTTTTAAGGCGCAGAACCGAAGGTCAGGTCTAAGGTGGGATTTGCCTCAGGTTGAAGGTGTGATAGGGCCAGGAGCCCCGTCCCCTCCGGCGCGACACAACCGGACCGCTCTGAGCTGCGAAGAAACGCATAAAACACGCGAAATAAAGAAAAGGTCAATAAAACGCCGCAATAAACAGGGTGGGACAGGGAAGAAAACAGAAAAACAAGTTTATTTCATACCCCTCACGCGGCCCAGCCGAAGGCGGAAGGCGGCGGCGCTGCCGCGCCTGCGCGAACGCCCCGCCCCGCCGAACTGCGCCTGCGCGCGGCCCCGAGTCGCGGCCGGCCGCGATGGCGCAGCGGCCTCTGGGAGAGGTGTCCGAGCTGCGCTGGAAATACGGCAGCTGTGGAGTGCTGCAGCCACCTGACAGTCACACACGTATGCGGCCTGACTGCAGTCCTGTGCAGTGGATTAGTCATTGAGAGGCTGTGCTAATATTACAATGAAGTGCTGAAAGGCTGAGTATTTTGAATTTTAATGCAGCAAATTTTCATACAGCACGCAGAGGTTCTTACTGTGTGTCTCCACACCTTTACCCACTGCCAGCCCCGCCAAGGATGCACAATAATAGTTTCGAGAATAACACGCATTTAATAAAGTCTTGACAGATTAAGTTCAGTATTGCAGGTGAGAGTAAAGCAATGTACAGAGAAGCTCTAATCTGTGACACAACCTGGCACATCACAGAGTGCAGGTCTTACCCAATGAGCGAGGAACAGAGTCAGTGCAGAAGTTACAATGGACTCTTCCCTAACTTCTTCGTTTTTACCTTACATTTAGGTCGAACTTGAGTCATGCATCTTAGTGAGTGATGGTCATACCTTGGGAGCGGATATGTCAGGATAGTACTTGAAATAATGCTGGGATGGGGACATGAGTCACTCCTACAGGGATTTTGTCATGGTTTGCTGATTTAATAGACATCATCCTTAACTTCCTGTTTTCAGATGCTGTGCAGCTGATCAGCTAGAAGGAACTACCTTTTAAATTTTAAAATAGTTTTTAAAATTTCTTACTTTGCAAGGGTTTCAACAGAGACAGAGGGGCTCCACTCCACTTCCCCCTCCCCCTTTGACCGTGTTGTGGGAGGTCGGAAATTCTATGATCCATCCAGAGAGTAGCAAATGTATTTCCCCCTGTTATTTCTATACTGTTATCATCCTATCTATCCACACCCCACCTGAACACCATAGCCCAATGAACAGATTGGTCATCGCGAGTGATTTAAAAAAAAAAGATAAACAGATTTATTATTTTCAGGTTGGTTTGTTTTTCGTTGTTTGTTTTTTTTTTTAACACCTGCCAAGTTGCACAAGACTCTGAACACAACAACAGTCACCAAATGTACATTAAACATACAGAGTTAAATAATAGATGGGGCCTGAGCAGTCCAAGAGATGCAAGATCAGGGTGCGCCGGCTGGGGCTGTTTTCTCTTTCCTCCAGGATAATACAGAACCTCCAAGGGACAGCATCTCCAAACAAAACAGATCTTCCAGGCAACTGAGAGGACTCTGGATCTCTGAATTTACACTTCTGTGGGATACAACTTAGAGAGATCTTTGTGTTGCTCTGGTTTAAAAACAATAATACATCCTATACCTTCTGCGCTACAAAAATGGATAAAAAAATCCATGCAACCTTTGTCATCTGTGCAATCACTGTAGTTCCTTATTTTGGAAAGAAAATCTGTGGTACTTCCATTTCCAGGCATGCTTCTTTCACAGACAATTCATTCAACTTGTGACACTAGGAATTACTTCACCTAGAGTTAGGCCAATAGCCCAAGGGTGCTGCTGCTGTGGAGCAGAGAAACTTTGATGAGGAAGATTTGAGTTAAAAAAGGCTGTTTTAAAATGGTTTTCTGTGTTAAATAGTTTTCAGTTTTAAATACATGGTACAACTGTCCTCATTCATGGACCGTTCCAACAAGGGTGAATAGAGCAAAGTAGTTTTTAAACCCCACATCTGCAACATCAATAATGGGAACATATTTGATGTTCATCTATTGTCAAACTTTTAAGACTATTAAAATTGCTCCTGCAATCCTCCAGTATCCCAGCATTCCCAGTCTCCCATTTCCAAGTCTGCTATTTTCCTACTACTTGTAGCATTTCTGCCTTGTTATTAAATTACCAGCAGCCTGAAAAAAGCCAAGACAAAATTCTCCCTACTCTCTTCCCACACAAACAACATTGCAAGGCCCAGCATTGTAATTCCAAAGACCTCAGCAACATGAACTCAAGTTACTGGGCACTGTGGTTACTTTTCCACACTGCCACAGTGGCTGGGCTGCGAAATCCACAGAATTTAAGGTCACTCATCACTGCACTTGACCAAATGGGAGCTCTGGTCCACGTTAATTCTACCCAGCTCATTAGTGCTCCAGTATGGAGGTACAGCAAGAGCAGAGAAATCCCAAGAACAAAGTAATCCACATTTTGGCAAGTCACTTCAGAGTTACCTCAGAACACTTCTCAGCAGGCCAGTATTGGCCAACTGATTTATCTCAATACTATTTCCATGCCACATTAACAGGTAAGTTAATTACCAAAGCCATACCTGCTACAAAACTTTGCCCACAAGGAATCAGATTTGCTCTTGTGCAGCCTGAGTGTGGAGTTCCCTCACATCAAAGAGCTTTAACTCCATAAAACCTGATACCACAATGAGTAGTACTTACTGACATGGGTAATCCACATGTGAATCCATGGGAATATCTATGGAAGAGTCCTACATTCACACTCAGTGCAGTACAAGAGAAAACAAATTAAAAAAAAATCTCTCAAGTTCTTCTGTCTCAAGGACTGCTAAGACACAGCATCCTTCTTTGCGTTTGTTTTATAAATAAATGTATCCTGATATGCACAGATATTCTGGGATGAGTTTTCCAGCAATGAATGGAAATTCAGACATACACAGTATATCCCATCAGAAGTCAATGGAGTTCTAGTCATGTTTTTGCAACCACCAGAATGCCTTAAAGAACCAAGACAACCTGTGAAGGAGAACTATGTAAGGAAAAACATATTACATGGCCTTAAAAAATAAACCTTCTCTTTCCCTTTCTCCTGGTCCCTAAATGCAACATGAATTCTGTACGTAAACCAGGTCCATCACATCTGGCAACTCTCATGGATGTCTTTCCATGTTTCATAAATAGTGGTCCACTAGCATGTTTCTTGTGTGTTTCCTGAGTTCAGGGCTGGTTCTTTTCTGGAGCTGTCCAAAGCAATTACAGTGCATTGTTAACAAGGTTATTTGGAAAAAAACCAAAAAACTCAAAGAAACCAACTCTCCATCCAGCCTTGAAGAGGAGAAATAGATTTACTTTGAGCTGGCCACAGAGATAATGACCCTGTCCCTTCAGAAGATGCTCTGTATCCTTGTTTTCTCCTGGCACAACTGGAGGGAAAAGTAGTAACAGTGCCTCTGTACTACTCTCAGGTGCTCCTAGGACTTCAATCAGTTTGTTCCAAACAACATGAGTTTAAGACTGTGCTTTTCCTGCTTTCTGAAACTGCTGGGTAAAGTAGGGCAGGGCAGACAGCATGTAAACAGTTCTGGAGGGCCGGAAAAATAATAATTTAATGGACTGCTTCGGCACATCTTCACAGCTTCATTGTTCAATCCATCCCCATAAAGGGACACCACGAACCACCACTTGGCTGCTGTCGCTCCTTTCTGCAGGCAGTCTGCTCATATGGCGCAGGGACACTCCCTTTCACCTTGGCTGCTAGAAGCCACAGGAATCAGTTCTGCCATATTCTAAAAACTTACATGATGTTCTCCTGTTTAATGGCTCCTATTAAAAATATACATACATCTGCCAGGAAGCCTTCAGCTAGGCAGGCTTTTTCCCACACAGCTAAAATAATATTGTTTGCTGGGTCAGCAGACATGCCAAATATAAAGTCCAGGGCCAGCAGAGGTTTCAGTTCTCTTGTCCTTTTTCTTAAAAGCTGCATAAAAAGCATCCCAAAAGGATTTTGAGGGTATCTCATGGTCACCGTGAATGAAACCCTCTTAAAGCATTAACAAGAGCTCCAAGATTTTAGTGGAAGGTAAGTGAGCATATACATTAAACATATAGAGCCCCAGGGTACCCCCATATCTGGGCTGTCAGGGAGGTGACAAGGACAAGCAAATGGCACCATGAAGCTCTTTCACTCATGCACTGCTGAGAAAGTCCTGGGTTTAGAGACGTGCACTTCGCTCCCGCCACTCCCGTTGGTGGTGGTGGTGATGATGTACTGGGTGGTTTGCTGCTGGCTGCTCGTCTGGGATTCCAAGGGATCCGTGTGGACTGTGGGCTGGGAAATGCCCACTTGAACCTCACTGGAGAGTGAAGAGTTTGGTTTACCATCCAGATCAGGCTGACCTTCAGATATCACGTAGTGAGTCTGCATGCGGAATATAGAAAATAATTAATAAACACTACCTTCTGTAACATCTCTGTTCTAAAAGTCTGCTGCCAGACATTTTAGTGTGAACAAGGAACTTTTAAATAAGCTCTATTTCATTTAAATGTATTTGAGAGCAACACAACACCTGTCTTTGATTCAAAGGACATTGGACTTACTTGGCTTTTGGTTAATTTACAAATGGTTAAACCATCACTACAGAATAAAACAGCAATTTTCAACCGCACTATTCTGAAAGGTTTTTTCCTGTATTCCACACGTTCTATCAGAAGTTGCAATCCCAATGACCAAGATCAACACAAGCCCATGACCTGATTTTATGCTGGATTGCTTACAAACAGGAACTCTTCTTATCTTACAGATAACAGAAAGTTACTAAAATGTTTCCAGAAGCTGTTCTAAAATTTGGTTTAATGGATACAGCTTAATCATAAATATATTTAAGACTAAGCACTACCACTAAATAATTTTGTTCTGCAAATGTGATTAAGTGAAGATTTTAAACTGAAAGAACTCATACTTACAAGAGACAGGCAACATGAGCCTTGTAAATAGCTACAATGCACACTATACTGTGCAGTCTGCACCTCTTTAGGTACCTCCACTCTGTGCCCCAGTCGTTATTTGGGCATTCTTTAAACCTTCAAGCTGAACAGCTTTATACCTGATAATATTCTGGATAAAAAAAAAAAAAAGCCATGATGTTTTTTTCTTACCTGAGTAACTGCTTTCACTTGCCCTGTGTTGACAGTGGTGACCGGGGTACCCACAGCAGTCTCTGTGATCACGTACTGCCCTTGGGGGATGGTCATCATCTGAATCTCTGATGCTAAAAAGTTTCAAATTGCATAATCAAGACCTTCAGTCAAACTCAAAGACAACCTTCAAAGATCATGTCTTATGTCAGAAAGATTTAAAGTCTGAAACAGTAGGTATTGAACAGATTTCAGGTGATATAAGGCCTTGTAGAACCCTACAGGCCTCAGTAGAATTATGCCAATTAATACCAGATAGAGATTTGGCAATTCATGCAGGGAAAACGCATCCTGTTCTCACTCAAATCATCACAGAATTACCATCCAGAACTGCAAGGGCATGAGAAATCATCTTCATGTCATGCTCCTTTTCCACACAATTCTTTCAAGCATGCACACAAATTTGAACAAGTAGCTATCCAACACATGGATTCTTGCTGTATGCAAGTTCCTTGGAATAAAGGAGCCCAGTGTGCCTGCCCAAACTATGTACTGGATCAGTATGGATGATAGTGGAAGAACTGGTACAAACATTTACATTCATCTGAAGCTTTATCTTGTTTATATCTCTGAATATTAACTACAAAGCTGAATGAACTCTGAAAACAGTGTCCCATTTGGTAGCTGGAGACATGGGGCACTTGTTAGTCAGACACACTTGCCAGACAAGTAGTTAGAGCTACTGCTGACACTTACAGTAGCTCCGAAATGAGTTCCAGTTGCTGGGGAGATATGTGTGCTGCACTGAGGAGCCTTGCTGCTGCTGGAGGACTTGGTTTTGTGTTGATGTAGTTGTCTGCATCTGTGATGGGCTGAGCTCCTGTTGAGGTTGTTGCGAGGAGGGACTCAAAGGCTGACCCCCAGCCTACAGGAAAAAAAAAAGTGCAAATGTTCTTGGCTAGTAAGCATTGCACAGCTCTATGCTGTCAAAAATACAGCCTTCTCATTAAGGGAAAACACAGGACGCATTCCAGAACATATTGAGTGCAAGAACTGAACTTTCTCTCCTCCAACTTGCTTCACTCGATGGTAAATAAGCTCAGACCAGGAAACTGAAATCATGATATTGTCGCTTGCCAATGTAAGTCTATGGCAGGGACCTGAGATTAGAGGCTAAATTCTACCCAACAGCAGGAAGAGTTGCACTTCGAATATTTGAGGAATGCCAGTTTCCATTTACATCTTCCAACTGACAAACTTCATTTAGCTGCAAATATATCTGTTTCCAATCATTTATCTCTCCTTTGTACATACTGTTGAGGGGGAAAAAAACACCTGACACCAAGAAATTCACACAAGAAATACCCAAACAAACCCACAACAAAACACTCCCATACACCTTGAGACATCTGGGCACTGCTTGATGATCTCAATGTGAGACTAATTTCATGTGTGGTCCTTTAAATGACAAAGAAAACACTATCCCCTGCATCAGCACATGCAATATGCCAGCTGAGCAAGCTGGTAGGGAAAGCATTTTCTGATAAGAAAAAGGAAGTACCTGTGATGATGACTGAGTTGCTGGTGATGGCTCTCTGACCTGGATGTGCTGCACCTGGATGGCATGTTGGGTGTATGTCTGGGGGTCATGGAGCTGCCCGACATCCACTGTGGAGTGCTGGGACTGGTGAGGTGAGGTAGCCTGGGGAAAAAATTACGCAGAGGTCTTTACCTCAAATTCTTTACAAAAGCAGCCATGTAAACCTCTTCTGGGACACAAGGTCTGGAATAATGAAGTAGGAGCCTTAGTGGAGCACACCTGTTGGGCCTTGTTGAGTTTCTTTGCACCCCAGGAGATAAGGTGTATTTAAGAGATGTAATGGCACAGAGATGGTTCTATCTCAGTGATACCAATGGAAAGGACTTGCCTAACATCATTCAAGCTGTTTGTGGCAGTGACTGGACTAAACCAAAGGGTTCAAAAGCCAGGATTAGTGTTAACTCCTTCTCTGTAAGCATTTCTCTGTACAACATATACATACTCGAGATCTACATATCCAATTCTGTAGCTCTGCATCAAGACAAGTGGTTAGAGGTTTTTAAAGGTTTTTCTGAACAACACTGCTAATGATACCAATTGCAGTAATTGAATTACAAGTCTTAGGTATTTACAACATTAAAATCTTGCTAATACTACCTGCAGGAATCAGTGTTCATACTCTTGTATTGTTACAACAACCACAGTCACTATCAACTGAGGCCATTGTTTAGGCCTTTATTAACCAAATTCATAAGTGATTCGATAACATGGAATTTCAGATTAAAATATAAACACATGGTAGTTTCAGCTTCCTCGAGTGGGTAACAGGTTTCTTACAGCACCCTAAGATATTTTCCTAAGACCAGTTACTCTAGTTACACTCTGATTTCATTTTTAGGAGGCTGTTGAGCATCAAGAGAATGAGGATGCTATGAAGGGAAGAAGCAACCACTCTCTGTACTCCCAAATTTTGGCTCTGACTCACTGAGGACAAGGAAGTACAAATCAGTCTTGAACTGCAGAAAATGGGTCACCCACTGACTCACCTTTCCAGTAGCTGGAAAACATTCCTAGAGCAGACTTGAGCAAAGCTGCCCAGATGGGTAGAATTAAGTCTGGATTGTGTCGATGTGTCTCCAGCAAGCTGATCAAGGCTGGAAGGACTATTTATGCCTGGTATAAGTGCTTATGAAGGGAACCCTATGCCTTCTCAGTTGATTTATCTGTAAAAAGTAGCTGCAGCACTTTTTGTAACTACTCCTTACTACACTTCTGTGTGCTAGAGCCCCAAGAACACACAGGCTTGGGAGGGAAGAGATCAAAAGCACAGCAAGGTTCCCACCAGATTACTCACCTGGGCCACTTGAACAACTTGCAGCTGTATATGCTGAGGCTGCTGCAAGCCAGTTGTGGATTGAGACACAGGGATGTACTGGATGCGCTGGTAATCTCCCTGGGGAGTCCGGTAATCTGTAGTGAGGGTCTGGGATATCTCTGTCATTGCTTGGGTCAGTAAATCTGTTGTCTGAGCAGGCAGAGAGAGAGAGCTACAGATCATCATCATACTGATGCACTTCATCAGGGCTGTAGTTCTTTTATCTACATGTACGGTGGATCTGGCCATTTTTTCACAAGAGCTAAATGTGTCCAGAGGTTGGGGTCATAAGTAGTCACCAAGGATCATCAACTAGAATTAATGTCTTCTGCCTAAATCCTAGTCAGGACCAATAATGGCTAGCTTAGCATATCATAATAAAAATAATTATTTTCATCTTGTGACACACCAGTATTCTATTAAACAATGGAAGTCCTGTATTTGTGAAGAGCTGACTTGGTTTCCAAGTCAAAAAGTGGTTTGTGGATATATTTCACCTTTCTTTCTCCCCTGTCAGAGTCACAAATTTGTTTCTAATGTGTAAAGACATTTAGTACATAACTTAATCAGGTTTATGAAGCCAACAGCATCCTGATTAAACCTCTCAATTTTCAAGCAAAACAGTCTTTTATCTAGTTAGTCTTTATATAGGAAGTTTTAAACTGTGATCAATAGGACTTTTAAAATGACGTTGTATCCCACAACATTGAAGGACACATTTTCTAGTCTCAGTTTCACTTCAGCAGCAGCTGATGTATTAACAGTAGAGAGATCAGCTAGTGGAGATTCATCTTGCTCATTGCTGTGCTGTCCAAAGGATTACAAAAAGATGTGACTCCCTGAACACAGTTTGATCCAGTCCCTAGTCACTGTTAAACTTGTCCTCTTGATGCCAGGAACTGCATTTCCCACTTTAGGAGAAAACTCCCAGTGAAAATCCATGAGATGTGTGTCCTTGAGTTCATTATGTGGAGTCAGTAGGTCTGAATGAAAGAAGAAAATGGATTTGGGGATAAAAGACAAATCCTTAAAGCTACAGAAAGAAATTAATAGAAAGAAGTTAACTACTGATAGTGCAAAACTGGACCACACAGGCTTAAAACCAGAAGTGATCTTAAATAATGTCCTAATACAGGTTTTAAAGTGATGTCTGCCAAATAAACCAGGGTTACTAATACCAGAAGGCTCCTGTTCTGTGTGTCTCCCTGCACTGCCCTTGTGTGCCTCCAGTCCTTACCACAACGGTTTCTCCGGTTGTGCTGTCAGTGGTGAGAACAGCTGGCGTGGAACTGATGACGGCTGTCGCCAGTGGCGCATGGATCGTGTTCGGGAGCTGAGCAAACTCTGGGTGCTTCTTGCGGATGTGCTGCACCATCTTCGTCTGCAGAGAGAAGCAAAGGAGCGTTGTAAGGACGGTCAGTAACTCTGCTCAGGGCCACGTGAAATCCAACAGCCTGGCCAAACACAGCTTTTAGGTTTCCCTCAGTAAAACAGCATCAAGATTCACAATATGAAATCCTCTGGTCAACAAAGTTGAAAACAAGGATCACAAACTGCTGCTGATTCACTGACGTATTGTCCTCAACTGCTTTTTACCGCAATATCACCAAGTGTTTTATGACTTTTCCCAAAGGTCATCTTTTCTGTGTTTTATTTCCCTGCTCATCTCCCCTGTAACTATCAGAGAGCAGTTTCCAAGCCCTTCCATTCATGATCATGCTGTAGTAACTTTTCAGCACAAACCCTCTATTCATGGAATCTTTTGGCCCTAAAACAACCAGACTGTGCCTGCAGAGTCAGCACACCCCAAAACCAGCACTCTGACTAAGAAGAAAAGAGCTCTGCTTGTGGACAGACAGGTGACAGAGACCATGGTGAAAGAGCATCCCCAGGGAGAGTCTGTCTGAGGCCAGAACCCCCCATACCTTACTGCTGTATTGCTTGGAACAGTGAGGACAGCACACTGGAGGGGTGGCGATGGTGCCTGTCAGCTGTGTGTGGGTGCTTAGCATAGGATCTGGCTCTCCCGGGCCTGCAGGACGAAGTTTCCGGATGCTTGGAGGTAGCTCAGCCCCAGGATGGTTTTTCAGGATGTGTGCTTTGCGTTTGCTGGCACTCTTGTACACCTGCAGGGCAAAGATTTGAAGTTAAAATAGTACAACCCTGGTGTCTGCACAGGAAACAGCTACCGGTTATCTTGATCTGGAAGGTCTGCATGTTGCCTCAGAGAGTACATTTAGTTAAATCCCCAGTTACAACAAAAGGCATGAACATACACCTTCCAGTGTTTCACCAACCTGTAAAAGCAACTGACTCCTTGTGTAGCAGAGAAGCCTTTTGAGAACATATTGTATGCCACAACCAAACACCAAAGCAGGACAAGGAGGTAAGAGGTAAATTCTTCTTGCCACATTTGAAGATCAAATGCCCAATGTTAATTTGTTATGATGGTTGATGTCTCTACTTGACACAAAGCATCAAGCTGTTCTAGTTTAGTGATCAACACATCTTTTAGTTCTTTTGTTCATTATCAACAAACAAATACTATCTAATAATTAAAACTATTTTTTCTCCCCTCAAACAAAAGGAAAGAGGCATCACAGAAAGATGTACTGAGGATAAGAACAGTCAAAATACACTCCCCAGTAAATAAAGGCCCTCAGGAATAAAAGGCAAAAGAGAATAAGAGCAAGAACCCAAAGGCACTGCAGAAGCAGCTTCAGGCTCCACTGAGCACTGGGATATGATCTACCAGCTTATAATAAAAGGTGCTAAAGACTAACTTTTAGAAGTGATACAGAAACTAAAGTTACTGGCCAGGAATTATACACGACAGCATACTTAGTCCTGTGCTAACACAAGACTAAGGGTCAGTGACTGTCTGCTGGATAACAGTATTCAAATTTTCCAATGCCAAACACAGCAGAAAGGGGAAAACTGCAGCTTTCAATCAGCAGTCCACTGCCTTGGCCTAAGTGCATTTTGTCTTTTTTTTTTTTTTGACAGTACTGAAGGAATGTTGCTGGCAAGTAGCTCAGAAAAGCTACAAACACCACCAGAGATTTCTATGAAGAGACAAATTGGTTGCATCCAGGACTGGCACTGAGCTATCCTCCGAGGGGTGACTTCCCACACACCTTATCGCAGTACTGACAGAAGTAATCTCTGTTGGGTTTTATGATGGGCAACGTGAGCTCTGGCACCTCTTCTATTTTCATGTCTGGATGTCTCTTTGATAAATGATTCACCTTAGGAGAAACAGAGGACATGAACATATTACCACTGGAAGCCAAACGATTGGTGCTTCTTCCGGTCGTGGGTAACAGCCAAAACAAAACTGAACGATGCAAGCCAGCAGCACTGGAAGCATTTGCTGCTGCAAGGGTTATTGTGCACTCATACTTAACTGCTGAAGGTACGTGTGGTCTTGCTAGGTCTCATTTACAGTTTCTCTAACCAAAATGAGATTGGAAGGGGTGAAATAGTTTGCCAGAACTGTCTTGTAGCTGATATCTGAGAGTGAGGTAGTGTGAAAGGCCTCTGCCCAGATCAGAACCCCCATGAAACCTTAGCAAACAATCTCTTGCTGCAGAACAGCCTTTACCCAGAGGCCATGACAAGACATGACCAGAAGAGGCCCTCGAGAAGGGGGAGAAACAAAAAACAGGAAAGATCACCAGGAAAACAGAGGCAGTAAGGCTGAACAAGGCAGTATTTTCATCTCATGTCCTCTTAAATACAGTACACATCAGACAGCATAACTTAGTGTTGAATTATGGTATTGACAACCAGATGTACAGTGCAGGCAGTAAACGTGCAAATTTGCTGAAGAAATAAAACACACAGGTTTAAAAAAAAGATGTATCACCTCAACTCAGCTACAAAATGTGCCAAAATTTGTTTCACAGCATCCTGGCTGGATAAGACCAGATAGGATGGGGCTTGGAGCACCCTGGTCTAGCGGAAAGTGTCTCTGCTCATGGCCAGTACGTGGAATGAGATGAGCTTTAAGGTCCCTTCCAGCCCAAACCCTTTCATGATCCTTGTGTTCCAATGCTGGAGCTCCATCTTTATTCCTTACCTATTCATCAGAATAGAAAACAGAGGCTGTAACAGCACCCAGGCACTCACCAACATGCCCCTGCGGCGGAAGCCCATCATGCAGAGGCGGCACTTGAACATGAAGCTCTCATAGTCAGTGGACGTGATCCTGGGCTTGAAGGTTTTGGAGCGGCTGATCCGATCAGCCTTCTTGGCCTCCCTCTCTGGGTTGTGCATCCTCTGCATGTGCTCTCGCAGTTTGTCCTTTCTCTGGGAAGGAGAAATTGGGGAGAAAAGTGTCAGCAACGGCAAACAAGCTGCCACACTGCCTGTTATGCATAAGAGCCACAGTTTGAGTTGTTCAGAGATCCTCTCTCCAGGAGAGGGAAATTTTCCTCTCAGAAAAATGTGTTCCTTCACCTAGAAGTATCCAGTCCCTCAATGTCCCATCACAAACTCAGTGATAGGGAGCAGGCTGCTGCCACCACAGTTTACCTGGCTCACAGTCTGCTTCATCTGTTCCAATGGGATTTGGAAAGGCATCTGGATGACATGTGCTCACAAGACAGATGCCATGGACACAGGCATCTTGGCCAGGAACATTATTAATGCACTGGCACCAGCAAGGTAACTGAACTGTTAAAAGCAATGTAACTCAAACATTTGGCAATTGAGGTGTATGATGTCCCAGTTCTTAATAAGCAGATAGAAAGTTCCTTTCCTATTAAATTATTAGGAATAAGATCTGTTTGAAATAAGATGTTGAGGTGACCTTGCCCCTTGTCCTTCAGAAATGAATGCCACAGCTCACACAGGACACCAAGCAATGCATGCAACTCGCAGGCAAGTCTAGCGTGTTTACATGTGTTATTTTCTTTCACCTTTGAGAACATGAACTTATCTCCTTGAAGGAGGGTAAGGAATAGTGGTTTTTATACTAGTAATGATCCAGCCAAGAGCCACCTCACCTTGAACTGCTTGCCACAGGTGGAGCACAGGAAATCTTTGCGGTCCGAGTGCCGCAGCATGTGGAGTCGCAGCTTGTCGGGGCGGCAGAAAGCCTTGTCACACTCTGTACACTGGTAAATCTTCTCAGAATGGAAACTGCGCACATGTTTCTTGACCTAAAATGGCAGATGACAGAAAAATTAAGTATATTCAGAAGAGAAGTAAGTGGTAACACAGTCTAGGAAACTCTTTGCAATATGAAAGAAAAGGGAAAAGTTTTGAAGGTGTTTAATATGCTTTGGTTTTAAAAGTATTTGATCAGAACAGTTGCTACCTCAGCAATAGTTTCTATAAAGCCGTAACATCTTTATTACTCGTCTGGATAGGTGATTTGATTTCCTCAAGAATGATTCTTGAAGGCATCAGCTATTGCACAACTGCACTTAATGGGCAGCGAAAGTCCACAATGTACCATTTGCACTGAATCATCCTTGAGTTAACACATTCATCTGAGGTTTATTATCTTCCTTTCATTTGTAAGAAAGCAAAACATGGGGACTAATTCCTTTCAATCAGACACAATGAATTTGCAATTGTAATTGGCAAAGAAAAAAAACCAAACTTATTCAGAACAGCATTTGCACACCATTCCTGAATGGCAATTACTTCTCCATACTCTGGGACTATTCTTCACCTCTTCAAATATCTATAGGGGTATTTTTTCCTCCCCCCAGTAAAGGAACTAATGAAGTTTGACATCTGAAATGAAAGCACTATTCAAGAAATGGATCTCTAATTAAATCCTTACCATCTTCTAATACTGATCATACACAGAACTACTTGGCTTGTCTACCTGTTCCACATAGAAGTATTTCAGTAGGCAGCAGTGACTAGTCTTAATTATCCACACAGCAAGAAGAAAAAAAAAAACCTCATTGTTAAATGTCAAAAATACAACTGAATAGTTGGAAAAAAAGCCATGGGACTTTCAGGCATTTGCATGGGAAAGTTTACTGGGAATCAAGTTGCAGTACAGCATTTCTGAATCATTAATGTTCTTCCTTGTTGAACATTTACAGAAGATAAAGGACTTCTGCCAGGATGGAATTATATTAGTAAAATCATTTTCCCCGTCCTTTCCTCTTTAGTGGATAGTCTATCTGTTCCTATTACTGATCTAAACCGGATTTCTACATTTCAGTTTCAGTCAGGTAGCTCAGTAAGACACATGAATTGCTTTGTCCCTAGGAAGGCTAATGAATATGTGCATGGTCCATCTCAGTTTTTTCTTACTGGACATGGAAATAGAATCTTTAAATTCTACTAATGACCTTGTCCAAGTGCTCAGAATAGTGCAGAGTAACTGCATTACTCACTGCTCCAGTCCAGTGAGCAAGGAAGGAGAATAAAGTGCCCAGCTGAAGCTCAGGGGGGAAGTCAGGAAGCAGAGTATCCTGATCTGTTCTGGCACTTCTTTGAGCTGTTCAAATGAATTATCCTGACAGAAAGCAGGCAAGGGATTAAAGACGTAAAACTCCTCTTTTTTTTGTCCAGAGTTTTAATGACAAAGGGCAAGGTGTGTTCAAATACAAGCTGAATACAGCAAAAGACAATTTTCTTTTGTGCCATGGAAATGTAGTGATCAGGACCTCTGCTTCAGGAATTTTTTGGGAATAAGGAGCTCACCCTTCTGCACTACAGTGCCTTCTTGTCAGCGTCAGTGCTTGGCACCAGTCAGTGGTGGATGGGAACTGTCACTATCAGTTTATCATCCTACTGTAAAACTTTCATACCTTCTCTCAGTGAGTTCTCACAGGCAGCTCCTCACAACACTGACTCCTTTTTTCTCTTTCTTCCACACAGCCAGCTGACTTCTTTGGGTCCCTAGCACAGCCACTTAACCCTTTGCATCCCCTGCAGCACACACTAACCCTCACTGCCCCTTGCATGACTGCCTGACCCTTACTCCTCACAGCACAACCAACTATAACTCTCCTCTCGACCAGCTAATCCACTTTTTTCTAACACCCATCCTTATTGGACACAGCTGTGACCTATTAAGGGCAAGGCTGTTCCTATTCTTTGGTTAGTAGTACAGCTTCAACTCCTCAGGGGCGAGATTGGCTTCAGCAGTATCTCTATTCTCTTACAATCCATCCTCCCACACATTCTAATGACAGATTGAAGCATCACATCTGATGATTTAGTGGAGACTGCACTTCAGTGTCATAAGACAATGTCTAGCAGTGGCTGGTCACTCTTCCTTTTCAAGTTCTGACTGAGGTGGACCCCTGCATCTTGTGAGAATGAACTGCTGTGCAGTTACACAGGGAGAGCACTGAGAAACCCACAGCCTTGTGAGAGACCCCCAAACAGAGCTTTAGATCAGTACAGAATCTCACCTGGATAAAATCTGGGAAGCGTTTCTTGCAGGTGGGGCAGGTGAAATAACCATCATTGACATGGATGGCCACATGATCCTTAAGCAGATCCAAGCGGTCAAAGGACTCAGGGCAGAAAATGCAGGAGTATGTTTTCTGGTCCATGTGGAACTTCATGTGGCTCTCAAGGGCACCGCTGTTGATGAAGCCCTTGTTGCAGATGTCACAGGTCAAAGGGCAGTTCCCTTCCCGCCCATGGAACCGCAGGTGCTGGTCCAGCTTGTCCTTCTCCCGGAAGGCCTTCCCACACTGCAGGCATTTGAACGGGCGGAAGGATTTCCGGATGAACAGGTGCTGCAGAGCTGCATTCTGAAAGAAGCATCCAAGAGACCCATTAGCTTTCATTACCATGTATCGATTCCATATCCATGCATATTCAGGATTAAATATACCAGATGATTAGTGAACCTGAACTTCAAGAAATTATTTTCCATCATATGTGGCCTCCAATTTACAGCAGGGGAGGCTGTGACAGGCAGAAATCAGGGGACACACCTGCAGCTACAACCTGAGTTAGCAGAACACAGTGCAGGAGTTTCCTCTCCATCCCTGATGGAGATTCTGATTTAGCTGACTTTCTTTAAGCATGCCATTTTTCTGTAAAATAAAATGAAGTTTTCTCTGAAGCACAGACCTGGGCCAGAGAAAAGCTGCAATTACAGACGATTATTGGGCATCATGTCATAAGTTCAGCCACCACATAAAGGAATAGTGAGCGAGCACCATGTGTTCCCCTCAGGAGCAGGGCTTATGAAATTCCACATCCCTTTACAAGATCACCTCTGCATCAAAGATCACCACAGAGATGTGCAGCAGTGGTTTAGCATTGCCTGGAGAACTTCTAGTGGAACATACATCCAAGAAATGCTGGTCTGAACTTTTTTACTATTGCCACAAAGAACAGAATTTCAAAATATGATGACAAGGGCAGAATGGCAGCCTTATCAGCAGCATGTAAGAACTTGTGAGCAATTCTCCACTCCTACTGAGCACAAGGTCTCTTCTCAGCCCCTATTTTTTTTCTTTTGCTGTGTGTTTGTCTTCACTCTGCCTTTTCTGTAACATTTCATGATCGTTATCTTTGTTTTCTCTTCTTACCCTTCATATAAATGTTATAGAGCCATCTCACTTTCTGCTGGAGGAACAGATGCTGCTGGATACACTGCCTGTAGAAAAAGGGAAGGGGGTCCTGCACCTGCATTTTAATATTGGATGAGAACTTTCAAGTTGGATAGTTGCAAAGCTGGAATTGAATCCTATGAAATCCCCCAGCACATTGTCACCCATACTGCACTCAAAGTACACTGCAATGCTTCATTCTTCTGCAAGAAGTCTAAGCAATATCCACTCTTCTCGCAAATACTTCTATAAACCATTATTTATTGATGTATTTTTTCACATCACACACAGAATCTACATCATGATAGTTAAATAATGTGGAAGAGCATAAATTTAAATTGCAAATTAGGAAGAAATTCTCAGCTGTGAGGGTGGCAAGGCCCTGTCACAGGCTGCCCAGAGAAGCTGTGACTGCCCCATCCCTGGAAGCACTCAAGGCCAGATTGGACGGGGCTTGCATCAACCTGTCATAGTGGAAGGTGTCCCTGCCCATAGCAGGAGGGTGGAACTGGATGAGTTTTAAGGTCCCTCCCAGCCCAAACCACTAAAATTCCACTAGAATATTGCTGACACTTCTGCTCACATGGGTTCCATATGACCCACTTCTTCATGAGACCCATTCATGACTTCTGCAAACAAATTTCCCTGGTTTCCTGTCCCCTTTGCTTGTGGGAATGTGGCAGCTGACACAACTGACATTTGCTGTATCTCTTTAAGTGCACACCAACAGCTGACACTGATTAAATAGTTATGAGCTCTTCTGCTGGAATGAGGGAACATCTTGGGAATACTGTGAAATGATGTGCTAAGAATTAAATTTGTGAACCTCAAAGATCCTTTTTCACCCTCTGAACTGCAGGAGGAAACCTAGACTCTCATTCCAGGAAAGAACAAGAGAGCAAATGTTTTGCTACCAAAAAAAATGAACACTTTAATACAGGAGCTCCAAATAGGGCTTCCCAGGAGCTGTCATCATCATCATTCTCCATTTTACAAGTGAAGACAATGGGAAACACATCTGCTCTAAGTCACACTGGGAATTAGAAAGACAGCCATGTGCTGTGCAAAATCTGATGTGCTGCTTGGAGTTCAAAGGATATAACTGTCCCCTTAACCACAAGGAGATGCTAATAAAACATAGGTGAAAAGATGTATTTCAAGTCCTGAACTGCACTATTCATTTGAGTTTTGATCACTGGTACCTTAGCAGAGAGCTGACTGCTAATACAGCAGGCCAGACTCAACATAGCCCTCAAGGGCTACAGAAGGTGAAATGTTTTACTCTTTGCCTAGTTAATCTATCAACTATAAAAAACAGAACAAAAAAACTAAGTGTTGTCTCATTAACTTGTAGCAGTGATCCGGCACAAACAATTGAGCAAACAAGTCCTCCAAAATTTTAAGACTGATATTACAGCTCTTCACTCAAGCAATTTACTCCTATAAAATCCACCCTAAATCTACATAGAACTGGTATGAAAAGAACTGGAAAAATGCAAATTGTTATTCAGGTAACACTTAGTTCTAGACATTGGTTACCTAAAGAAGAATGAATGTGACAATTTATGGTGTAGGGTCAATCAGGGAAACACTAAACAGGAGTTGGACCAAACAACACGGAAGGTGGTGTTGATACGTACCATTGGAGTAGATACAGTAAAAACCCAATGAAACAAAAACCCAAACCTACCTGCAGCTCCAGCTGAGCAGGCAGCATTGAGAGAGAAAAAATACTTATGTTATGCAATGGACTTGAGAAAACAGAAGCCTTGACTTCTACACTACAAGGGCTTTTCCAACTAGAGTTTACCGCTTTGAGGTTTTTGCCTCAGGAAACACTAAACAGATCTTCCAGATTTACTCTGTAGTTAGTAACTGCTCAAGGGGAGTTAAAAGGGCAAAGATAAAAACCACAGATAATCCTGAAGGTGTTTTGTGACCTTTCCTGTTTTCCTAGGGCTAATTAACAGGCATGCAATGTGCACTGCCCAACCATAGTGAGAATAGAATGCTTTCAGCAGAAGGGAATAATTAGGGCAGGATGACAACAGGGTAGGGATAAGGAGAGTAAAAAAGTTAAGGAGAAGGGACTTTTTCTAACCTCATTTTACTGGTTGTGCTCCTTGTTACACAACCACTTGCATTTCTTTCACCACAAAGGAAATGACTGTGCTTTCCAAATCATATTCCTATCCCTCCTGATTCTGGCATTAGCACACAGACACCCTGCATACTGCCCAGAACTGAACTAAAAACAAATATTCATTTTGGCTGTGGACCACAATGTTCCTCTAATTTTCTACAAGAGTTCTTGAAGGGTGTGCGTATCTCTTTTCAGTACTAGGGACCCTCCCAGCTGCCATAGTTAAGGTCTGCTCTCCCTCTCCAAGGAAAACCCACAGATTCTAAAGCAGAGGCTGAAAAATGAACTGATCCTATCAGGACTTGAATCCTGGGGCAGGACAAATCAGTGCTTCCAGCTAGCATGAAAACAGTCTCAGAGCACCACTGTCTTAAGCCTTAGAAAAGCTGAAGCAATTCACAAAATTCACTGGTTTTGAAAACTAAATCCTATCTAAGTAATAAGGAAGAATAAGAGCTACACAGGTTTCAGAATCATAACTTGGACTTTCTACATATTCTTTGGAAGTGAATAATGCATCACATACCTAAAACCCAAATGTTTGCTAGCTTTTATTATGAAGTGAATGTTATTGTAGGCAGGTGCTGTGTGAGTGTTCAGTGGGTGATTTTTCAGTGCTTAAAAAATTATGCTTGCTGGTTTAGTCTTATCTCAAATGCTCATTGCTCACAGTCTGATGCAATATGGAAAGGTCTGTGCAACCATCCATCTGCCATTCTGCCAGTGCTTCTGGCTTGAAACATCTCCAGGACTCTCCTGAACACGAGCTGCCAGATAAATGAAAAGTTCTGAAGACTTGAGATACAAACATATCACTGAACCACCACTGCACTCCTCTGAGCTGTCATCCATTTGTGATGAATTTACAAAGAACAAAAGCTAAGTCACAAGACAAGGAAGTAACTTCAGAATTTCTGTACTTTTCTTCTTATATTAATTTTTTCAGAGGATCCTAAGTTCACATCTTGGGTTCAGAAGTTCAGGGAATTGGCCAATGCTTTCTTTTCTTACTGAGGATGCTGTAGCACACTGTAAGCTTTACATCCCCATGCTCTGTCAAAACTTCAGCATCTCTCTCTGTACTCTTATTATACACCCTTCAAAATACATTCAGTAAAAAATCCCCCAAGCTTTTAACATATGAAAAGGAAATCACTGGTAGAAACTTGTCATTCAGAGACTGCATTTTGTATGGTTAAAAACTGTGCAATCTTAATGGGCCCAAGCTTCCTTCAAGACATGCCACAGCATTTCTGGGGTAACACCACCACTGGACTTACTTATGTATTACTGTAAACTGCAAGCAAAATTTGGCTGAACGTCTTCCTATACAGAATAGTTACTCAACTCTTTTCTAATCCTTCCTCATCCCCTAAAACTGAATTCTTATCCCAATGCTTCTTTCCTTAATCCAAAGTTAACACATGGAAGAAAAAGATTTTAAACTAAATAAACTGATTTTCCCAGTTACAAAGCTTCAAGGATTATTTGCTTGAATCATTTCCCTCCCACAAATAATAGAGAAAAACCAGTCCAGCCAGTTGACATGGAGCTTAGGCTCAAAGTGTTTGCTTGTTAACACAGGTTTTACTCTCAAAGGCAGGGTTTTCTACCCCAAAAAAGAACTTTATCACTAAGTATCATCATCATCTAAGTGGATCCAAACTGACGTTGTGGTTCCTCTTTGGCAATTATTTGCAAAAGAGTTCTGAGAGACACAGATGGTGCTGTGAGGAAGTCATTAGTCTGTGCCACAGCACAAGGATTCTGCCACTTGTTTCAAGCACCCCTGCTTGCCAGTTTGGATGGACTGTGTTTCCATGCAAGAATTACTGTGATGGAATTCAATCAGCTCCAGCTCCTGACCAGTTCTCACTAACACCTATGAGATACTGGTCCTTTATGTGAAATTTGTCTTCCTCTCAGTGCAAAGAAAACTGCTAGGAATGAGATGCTTTATTTGGCATTTGGAAATGGATACGACAGTGAAAGGAGGACCGGCTGACCCTAGCAGGCAGGCCTGGCATTCCCTAGGTTACAGTGGATGTGATCCCCCATCCTCTATGCTTACCCTGATGCGCTTTGCTCGCCTCATGTCATCTGCTGTCATAGTGCTCTGCGTGGGCACTGCGTTCCCCTCGTGCTGTGGCTGTACATGGAGCACATGGTTTTCCTGCTGCTCCAGTGCTGCCTGTGGCTCTGTTGGCACTGGAGTCTGTTCCTGCTGCTCCAGCCCATTCAGTGGGGCTTGTCCGGCCTCATCAAACTGCCCTTTGCTGGAAAAATGCAGCAAGTCCTGAAATCGCAAATCATACAACCAGTGATTATTCCCCCCACCCACTGAAAAACACTTTGATAATACTCAACAGACAACAAGATTTGTAGATATTTAATTACAAACTATAAACAAAACAGCGTAGTGTAGTGTCTACACTAACTCCTACAGTTCTCCTACTATGTCCACTGCTGCTTTCGGCACATCACCTTCACCTACAAGAGCGTCACCCAGAGCACCAGAGAGGCAGTGCTGCAGGTAGATGACTCTCCCTGGGCTATCCCTTTCTCTGACCAGCCACAGACAATTAGCATTACCCGTCTGATTAGCCAGACAATGGCCAACAAGGTTCTTCTGCCCTTAGGACTATTTCTACTTTAAACAAAGCAACTAGTGCAGACCCAGGAAAGGAGAGAATTTCTGTCTTGTGGAAACTGTTGTCACTTTGAAACACTATGTGTCATTTTGCAGTGTCTTCTCCTTTCTAACGAACTATCTAGAGTGCCAAACTGGAGAGTGACAAACAAGATGATCATGCTGGGTGCTACGGGTTTTTTTAATCCAGCTTCCAGCTCTGCACACATCACTTCCATATATCCCACAAAGCTGTTTTTCCTCCCCTTTCACATTAGCATAAAAGGGAGGTGTTGTAAGCAGGAAGCACATGCCAAAGGTCTACATTCTTTCCCTGTGAGTTCTCTGCAATGGAGTCCAGAGATAACTCTTCTGGAATGGAATCATCTACTATTACAAAAAAACCCACAAACAGATCCTTATTTTACACCACATAATCCAACTGAAGAAACTTAAAAGCATAAGCTAGGAAACAGAGCACCAGAATAATTTTTTAATTATGTCAGCTGAAGGCTGGTGCTGTCAAAACAGAAAAGTGGGTGTGGGAGAAGAAAACCAAGGAATGAGGCCCTTACAAACTGTGAGTGCTTACCCAAAAGAGACCCTTAGTAAATACTACACTATCTTGGTGTCCAGCCCAGGTCTGGGTGGCAAGTTTCCACCTTGGCGACACTCAGCTGTGCTCTCAGCATCCTGACCTTCCAGTTCCCAGGCAGAACTCATGCCCAGCTTTAGCAAGGTGAGCAGACCTCCAAGGGCTTGGGGCATCATCCTATCCCACTGCCCAGACACACGTGAGCTAGCTCTGGGCCATGCTCCAAGCTGGCAGGACACAAGCCACCTCCAGTCCAGAGACCACTCACACACTGGACTGCACCCAGCAAGCGTCATCTCCTCAGAGTGAAGGGTTTGGGACCAGGTATATTTGTCTAAATGAGGCTGGCATGTGCCATATCAGCCTGTAGAGAGGGTGAGCTCACAACTGCCTGCACCTAATGCAGCATTTAGGGCATTGCATCAGGAACTCACAGGCAGAGTATACATTCCTTCCTCTGAGTCAACACAGAGCCATGACCCAGTGAGGAGCCAGAGGAAAATTACCACTTCAGATATCAGCTTTCAGCTAAGTCATAAACAAGAGCACTGATCCCTTCTGTCACTGCTCATAAAGGGAATTAGTGGTAACCTAAGCATGGTCAGCATCAGAGAATTTAGTTTTTTACTTAAATGCATCATAATACGTCCCTGCAGAATACAACCAACAGCTACAAGCAAAAGAACATTTTGCAATAAGCCTACAGGAGGCCCTTCTGTTATTAAAACGTCATAGAGAATCATATCTCAAATTGATTTAGTTCTACCAGCAACAGTTCTAAGAACATGCTGGTCTCACATTCCAGAAAGGACAAATAGGAACCTAAACTCCTATTACAGTTTTACTGTCTAAATGACTTCTGTGAGGCTGCTAAACTGTCACAATAACCTAACTCACTACTTAGCACTTTGGAGTGAAACTTGCTGCAGAAGTCCAAGTGATTTTACAGGTTTTAAATAGGGAAGTAGTGTGCTCTCCTGGCAGATAATTCCAGCTAGAAACCAAGAATTATTCATGTGTAAGTCCAAAGTACACCCTCAGTTTGCACTGATGCCCCAAATTCTTTTAGTCAAGAGTTTACATTCCATGTGCTGTTTTTTTCCCCCATCTCCAAAAGTATACCTGTGTTCCTTCTTCACATTTTTCAACATTTTCACTGGTTACTTCCATGCGCATGAATTTGGGAGGGCGCCCAGGGCGTCTGCCTGGTCCAAATCTCCTCTTTCCTCGCCCACGACCTCGACCTCTGGTTCTGCAGAATATAGGAGTGCCCCAGGTTAGATACAAAAAAATACTAATTTGGATTCTCCACTGATTTTATGCTTTCTTTCTCATCATTCCTATTTACCCATTCAACTCAGCAACAATAATGCAGTAAATAATAAAAACAGAATAAATTCTGGCAGCAAAAACAATGGGTTTCTGGCTGGTATCTATTTATTTTGTGCTTTATGAGAAGCCAAGGTTCAGAACACACTAAAATTTCTATCAGCAATCCTGGGACCAAGAGGACTACTTGCTTCCATCCAGCCCTCTGCCATGGCAGACTTCTTCTAACACCCCAGTTTATTTTGTGCTGGAAGCACATTTTTCAGCAGATATTTTCAGCATGATGGAGTAAGTGCACAAGGAAACCCATTTAAAATCTGAAGCCATAACATTCCTCCCAAAAAAGCACTCAGCCACTGATATCAGGCACTAAACAGAAGGGAACAATTTTGTGTCAAAAAAGCAAAATAAAACAGAGTCACTTGCTACATTTCAGGGGAAAGAAGGCGCCAATATCTTCTGCTCTGTGACAGGTGTTTGTAGATTCACTTTTTAATAAGTCAGGGTAAACTATCTTGCCAGTGGCACAGTGAGGCACTAGAAGCCTTGTTTTCCAAGCTCTGTACTTCCATATCTCTGAGAAACATAGTGTTTCAATACTGTAATACTGAAACATTACAAATATTTAAAGTCATTGTCAAAAGAAAAACAAAAAAAAAAACCTCACTAATTTCAACAGACTTTATTTCTCTCAAGTTACTTGTTTCACAGAGTCTCTTATTACCAATCAGCCTCCTGCTGCCATGATTTTTCCTTTTGGTGCTGAGTTGATCTCTCCTGAGTTGGTCACTAAGATCTGCAGGACAAAGCCCCTCCTTTCTGCATGTTTGGTGAAGGACCACAGTGATCCACAAGCGAAGCTAAGGCTGTCAGTACCTGCTGAAGAAGTCCAGCTTCTCGTCATGGGAGTTGAGGTGCTGCTGGAGCTGCTCTGAGCTCATGAAACGCCGATTGCACTCGTAACACGGCCAGTTCTTTTCCTGCTCCCTGAGCACTGTCGGAAATGTCAGTAACACCACTTCACTCATCACCAATTAAACACCTCATTTTTTTGCCCCCAGCCTCTCTGTCCTCTGTGGTCCAGATTTCTTCCCTGAAGGTTAGACAGGCTGCAGAATACCCAGCCCTGCTCCACTGGTCTTTGCTTTTATGTCCTCTGCACTGCACCATGACCATAGCTCATCACAGAGACACAGAAAGATCACTGAGGACAATTCCCATGGAGTATCAACACTGTTAGAAATTCAGGGGGATTCTGAAATTCACCCTTGTATGGAAGAGCACGTACAGGAGCGTACTTCTGGCGTAAGTTAAGGGAGACCAAGGGAAATTTCTACATTTAAAGCAGTCACACAGTAGACAGTGAGTACAGAAAGAGACCTCTTCCTGGGAGGAAGCAACCTAATGCTTCCCAGAAACTGAAGCAAAGGCTTAAATTGAGGTAACAGTCTCATGAGAATAGTTATTGGAAACAAGCCCCAAGAAATGTAGATCTGGTTTAACTTTTCCCAGCCTAGCAGAAATTTAGGAGCACTATACAGGCCATATACTTGAAAGTACGGAATGCAACTTGCAACCACCACCACATTGAAAGCAGAGGATGCCCAGTTACCCTTCCTCTCCTCCTCAGTTATGTCATGGATCTTCTGGTTCACAAAGTCGGCATAGGAGGCAGCATACCACACCTGCAGCAGGAACACAAGGTAACAGGACACTGAAGTGGAGCCAAAACTAATGGAAATTTATTTGAAAATGGGTTTTAAGCAATACATTTACTTCATTTGCCTCAACCACTAACTCTTATTGCTCCCTCCATTCTCAATAATAAAGTCTGGTAAGATCAGTGTGGCCTCACAGAGGAATGAAAGAGCTTTATTCAGGAAGTACATCCATTTAATTTTAAGGTCTAGCTTCCTAACACGAATGTTTATTTCGCACACGGCTTCCAGTAGCTCTAAAGGAAATAAGATTAATCTCTTCAAACCCAGCTACATGACTGTAAAGGAAGAATGTCATCAGAGTACTGATACTTGTACCAAGAGAAATGGAAATGCTATTAATTTGGGGGATTTCCTATTTCTTTCCCGCTCTCGTTACATAGACAGTAGGCAGCACCATCCACATAGACTCATTTAAAATGCTTCTGAAGGATTGGAGCAATATGGTCCTGCTTCCCAAAACAAAGATCTGCCAGGCACCAGCATGGCAGACCCACTTTTGTCATACAAGGAATTCAAGCCTTCAGCAAAGGCAACCACAAGAGGCAGGAAGACAAAGTTTATTAAATCCTAAAAGCAGATGCTCACATTTAGATGAGAATTCTTCCATCATTTCATTTGTTTGATGAAAAAGAGTGGATTTCAGAAAATATTTCTCAAATAAGGTATTAACATTTTTATCACAAAAAAACTCCAACGAGCTTGCAGTGGGCCACAGGCAAAGGTGAGTAGGATTTCAAGGACTCTTCAGAAGGTGTGTCAGTCTGCAGAAATCCCACCAGCTGGACAAAGACGAAAGGCTGGAGCTCCTGGACTACACACCTGGCAGGCAAATCAGAACTTCCCAGCTTCAGCTACTTTCATCTCTGGACAAAATGTGCATGAATGCCCACTTGGGGAAGAAATCAAGTTACCAAGCCTTTCAGTTAGCAAGCCATTATATCCCAAAAGACACAACTAACAAATAAAGCAAGAAAATTTATGCTCCATCAGGGAGGTCTGTACATATTTAAAACTGTTTTAAAAACTGTTGACAAAACGGTTTTTGGATACACTTTTAATGGATTTGTAAGATTTCTAGTAATTCAGCTTAAAGAAAGTTAAGGACTGATTTCAGATAGTCCTGCTCTTAAAGGGTATAAGTAGGCTTTTGCCCTGATTTAGTAAGTGCACTTACTAAACAATTGTTTTTTCCAGACAAATTGTTGAAATCGACAAGCAAGAATAGATTTGAAGAACAAAATTTCCTGATGTCAAATTTTTTTGGTCCCCCAACAGTGCCCCAAAAAATGTTGAAAATTAAGGCCATCTCAGCCAGCCACAATGCTTTGAGCTCAACGTAATCAATAAATTTTTAGAGGGAACAAAAGGCAAACCACAGGGAAATCACAATAACATTTTTAACATGCAAAGTCTCAAAAGCTCCAGGAAAGCCAGATAAAAGGAGAGACCATATTCACTTAAGGCATCAGAAAACAAGCCAGTAACAAACAGGGCTAACTGGAAAGGGCATCCAGGATTTAAAAAATACGATTGCTGCAATAAAGTTAGATTGTATCAGCAAAATATATGCTGTGTAAAGCATGACAGGGAGAGACAAACAATTTACCTATTTTTATTTTAAACTTCCTCATGAGCCAAAGCTCATTAAAATGCATATGTTGGTGACTAACTACTTACTGACTTCAGTGACATTCAGTTCAGGCCAGGCTTTTTTCAGAGGAAAAGCTCTAAAACTATTCACATCAGTAGTTTTTGGCACTTACTAGGGATCAACTTTTAAGGTACTATTTAATCAGTAGAAAAAGTGAATCCTGACACAAGCAATGCCATACCTTGAGTTCCTGCTTGGGCTCCACATTTTTAATGGTGGTGTAATAAATGTGGTGGCCGTACTGATAGGCCACCAGATTCTGCTCCAGGTGGTTTTGAGCTGGACGCACAAACATCATCCAGTTACACAGAGCCTCACTGGAAAGTTCAAACCACAAGTCCTCTTGCAAGTCTCTGTCTTTTCTGTCACCCTTATCAAGAGAAACCTGCAGCAAAATCCAATTACATGTGACTGTAACTGCCTGGAAGCACATTCAAAAGAATTTGAATTACTAATTTTTTGTGCCCCTGCAATGAAGCAATGAAGGCATAGCTAATTTTCTCTCTTTACTAACACAGATCTAGAAACAAGCAGAAAAATATTTAGAAACAGGTAACTAGGGAGGCACAATGGATACTTCCAAGGCTTTCAGGACCAAGAATCATTCATTAAAGGGGTCAGGCATAGTATGAACAAGTGACTATAACAAATAACATACAAATAGCTGTAGCTTTAGTAGGGTACAGAAACATCAATTGGAAGCTTCTAACTGGCAGACCCACTTTTTCTTTCATTTCTTGAGTCATGACACTCCCTCAAGCAGAAAGCAGCATTTCTTTAGCTGAACTTCTTTTGGTTGCTGAATCTGCCTATGGTCACAACTTGCTTGTCAGACACTGTCCAGAGCCCTCCTAAGACTGTGGATCTAAACTCCAACACATAAAGGACCAATTTTTTCTAGTGAAACCAGTAAATAAATGGATAAAAGTCACTCAAACCCATTTAACCCCATACTTGGCGAGAGGAAAGGTATAAAAATATTTCCCCTCCCCAACATCTTATGAATTGAAAGGTAAGAAAAATATTTTGAACTGAGGCTACACCATGACACAAAAGAATGGCTGCAGAACATCCTTAGAAGGGGCTGCTATTTTTACGTCCAGATGCTGCTTCAGCTCATGTGAGAGTGATTCACAGCCTTCCAGGTTATGCACCCTATATATATGCATATATATATATCCCATTACCATAATGCCAGAACATTCACCAGGATTAGTGTGTCAGCCTGAATAACAGCAGATTTGAAGCCAAAACAATACGGGTATATCTTAGTTATAGTCAGAGATGGAAGTAACAAAATATCTCTAGTGAATTGATGAAGGTAGAGTGACAAATTAATGAAAATAAAGGCTTAGGCCCAAATTGATTTCCCCTTTTTCCACCCTTACCTTCAAATGGATATAGCAGTCTTTGAGCTCAGTCTGTCTGACGAGGGGTCCTTCCACAGGCCCAAACTGTGTACGCTTTGGGATGCGCCGTTTGGAGAACACACCTCCCAAAAACCTGTCTATATAGAGCACCAGGGGAAGGCTGGCCCTCGCCCTGGTCAGCACAGGCCGGTTTGGGATGGGATGCAAAGGTCCGTGTTTCGGACACACTGAGGGATGTGCATTATTACACTCTTCACACCCTGCAACACAAAGGCAGAGAGGACATGACTTTTAGGCAGACACTCACACACCAGCTCAGAGACAGCCTTATCTCTCTCTAAACATCTTTAGCTTACCTGTGGAAAAACATTTATGTCAATAGTCTGTCGACATTTTAAAATATCAGACAGGCCAGTGTCCAGCCAAATAAGAACATATCAGCTCAGAGACTTCACTAAAGACAGAATTTTGTCTTTTCAGTCAAGCAGCCCAATTTGAATTCACATTTCTGGGAATCAAGACTCACACTTAGTCATTACTGCTAAAATCTGAATGGTTTTTGCCTCTCTTTATTAAAGGTCTAATGGAGAGGGAAGAAAAAAGCAGGTAGCACAGGAAGCAGGTATGACTGCACATGCTTACACAAATCATTGGGATCAAAGGGTCGAGGTGGATCTGGATCCCACTCATCCATGTCAGTGTCTTCCCCATCTTCATCCTCATCTTCATCATCATCTTCTTCCTCCTTTGTTTCTATCCTTTCCATTTGATTCTGCAGAGGTGCTAAAGGATCAGAACCATCCACAGCCTCCATAGGAGGTAACACCTGGTTATGCACCGGTAATGATGCCTGAAGAGAGAATTCACAAACAATTCAAGCTGATTCATGAAGAAAACCACAAGGACAGGCAATGAAGTTTATTGCTAGTCTACCCTTCCTGCTGCCTCTAGTAATAGAGAGGAGGACAAGGGAAGGTGCTAAAAGACTGCCAAGGGATGATGAGGCTGATGGCCTCACTCAAAACACCTGTATTACTCCCTGGCTATACCCTGTCAAGGACTCAGTTCTTAGAAGAAACTGAACTCAGAAGAAGTTCTCGACCCTTGCAGAAAGTTCAAAACCAAGTCCAGGCTCTGTAGATATTACCTAGAGCCTAAAGCTGTATTTTAATTTCTTTTGTACAAAGTAGAGTGTCGGAATCTGTGGTATTGATGATTCCGAGATTGTAGAAAGTCTCTGTCTGTCAGCCCCGCTGCCAAAGCAGAAGCCATAATTCGTCTGTGCTGTTTCAAGGTTGTTTATTCTGTTTATCTCTAACATGTTCTGCTGCCCTGCCGCAGCTCTGTCCTGCAGGGCAGCGTGTGGGGCTCTGCCCTCAGTGGGATGGTACAAACATTATATACCAGAAATTACGTGTGCTATATTTACAATAATGTGCCAATATCTATCATCTACGTTAAATAGCGTGTCCCCAGCCTAAACCAACAGAAAAATGCCAACACTACAGTGAAACATGGAGGGCATGAAGAAGGAGAAAAAGGACAAGACACACCCAATTTCCTCCATCTTGTCCCCTCTGAACCCCTAATCTAGAAACCTAAAATTTTACTTTTGCACCCGTGCCACATTTAATTATTACTCATATCAAACACTCAGAGCTTGTAATTCATCCTGTAAGATTGAAAACTCTTTTCCATGGACAGAGATCACATACAGTGTCTCTGGGGGCTCTGTCCAGGGGGGTTCCTGACCCACTGCCAGGGTCCCAGGCCCTCCAGAGCAGCCAGAGGGAAGCCCTGGATTCCCACAGTAGAGAACCCTGCACTTTGGCATACAATCTTCTCTTTACAATCCAACAAAACCCATCTCCAGAGTACAAAGGTAGAGGTTAATATGGGGTGAGGTAATGTGGAGACTAGATATAAACTACAGAACATGAAGAACAGTTGAGGGCATTGCATTCTTCCACTAATTTTCAAGTTTAGCCCTTTCCTTCCTTAAAAGAACTGTAACAGTTGAAGTTTGGCACATATTCCATCACCCACACAGGATTCTCAGGTAGAGAACATGAAATATTACATGCAGCAGAGCTGCCTGAAAATACTGGCAAGGAAATCCAGTGGATGTTGCTGTGACAGTCAGCACTGCACCTTCTGTTAACTTCAGTTTTCAGCACTGACAGAATCTTAAGGTGGCTGCTCACAGAACCATCTGTGAAACAGGTTTCTCTGTATATTAAATATATGATATCCTAAACCCCACAGTCAGATATCCCACATTCCATGGTGAGACTAGGGAATACAGTACAAATCTGCACTACAGCTTTCTCACATCTCCTCCCATATCACTTAGCCATGTTTCATCCCCAGAGGTGATGGAGCAATGGAATCAGTACGCTTGTACATGAAAAAGGAAGGGGTGCCTGGCAACTTACTCTATCTGCTTGTGGCCCCTGCTCCAGAGCCACTGGCTGGGGGGAGTCAGCAACGCTGCCGAGCACAGACAGGTTGGTGGGATTCATGCTCTGCGCAGCAGCAGGCAAGAGCACAGTTACCTAAAATCACAGGCATTCATTTTAGCACTGCAGCATTTCCATCAGTCACTTAACACATGGGCAGGGATCAGCATGCACAGCTCCCTTGAGCCCTGCACTCTACTCAAAAATCATTCCCATGATTTTTGGGATTCAAATAGGGCTGATGGGCTTGGACAGAACCTGCAGCTCCTGGGACAAAGGGAAAGACTTCAAATCTACAGACTTCACAAATTCTGAATTACCTATTACACATTTTTAAATTAAGATCCTGTGTTCAATTGCACTAAAAGGAGCTCTTGAGATCTTGGTAAAACCAGTGATTTGGTTAAAGACTAGTAAGACTGGTAAAACCTCTTTTCCTCTATGCTCAAATTTAATTTCATTTTCAAGGGAAAAAGTAAAGAAAGACTAAAAAACATTTCCTCTCTTCTTGACTTTTTCCTTCCTCAAGCAAACCCTGCTGAAGGCTGAGGGGTTTAGAACTAGATAAACTTTAAGGTCTCTTCAAATCCAAATCATTCTGTGATTCTATGATCCAGGATCCATAAAAAACCAAGATGGTGTATTGACCTCATGAAAAGATCAAGCTTTCAAACAAGAGGATCCCAACAATTATTTTTCTTTACATCTGGTCACTATACATTTTTGTTTACATACTCTTTTTCTTTTGTGCTGTAACAACCAAATTAATGCATCTCATCCATTCAGCAATAAAACAAAGCACAACTAAATCCCCCAGGAATCACCTTTCCTGCCTTTTGTTTCCTGCTTATATATACAGGAATTTGCACCATTATTTCCTTCTCTACAGCTGATATCATGCGGTTTCTGGTTTGTGTCTCTGACTGTTAAGCAGCTTTTATGTTAAAATCCAAGCTCCTGCCTCTCTGCAGAGTGCTTAATAAATATGAGATAAAACAGAGAACAGTGAATTGGGCCAGTAGGGAGGGAGCAGAAAACAAAATCCATAACGTAAGCACTCAGTCTTAGTAGTCCAAACTAGGTGCTTTGTTTAAAGAGGTATTAAGAGCAATTTATGAAACTCCTGAAAAACAACAGCGAAAAGACTTCAGGGAATGATGTCACAGTGAGGAGGAAACCACCACGCCAGTTTGGTATTGACATTTCTGAAGCCAAGTGACAACAAAGAGGCATCATCATTCCTCCAGTGTGCCAGCAAGGAGAGGGTCACATAGACTTGGATCTATTTGTACCCCCTATTAGCATTGCCTACTATTAATCACACCAAACATACCCTTACTTGCACTTCCATGTTAGGCACTGCATGGTTTATGGGCATTATTTTTATAAACCTCTCACTTTCTTTCTACAATAAATTTTCTTCTGAAAGACAAAAGGAGCTTTAATTATTATTTTATCATTAGTTGTCAGTTCAGGGATGTCCCACATGAAATGCTAATATCAAAACAGCTGCAAAGGTAGGAGTTGATCTAATGATGTATTAACTATTCACCAAAAAATTAATATATATGTTAGGACTGCTGTCAGACTCTGTTGGAATGGAAGACAGGCTGAGGACACAGAGGCAAGTACTTCTGGAGTAATAATGGCAGATCACCTCTGTTGTAACTGCCATCTGCACTGTGCACAAATAATCTCCTATTTTTAACTAATACTATATTTGTGAAATTAATTTCAAGACAATTAAATAGGAATTTCTGGCTTCTTAATGCAGGGAAATTGATGGAGTAAAAAAATTCCAGAACAAAACTTCAGAGAATGAAAAGAATGAGAAGACAGGTAACACCTTTATTGTGTCACTCTTTGCTTCCCATCTGTGCCCCAACAATTTAGAAGTTTTTTTAGCAAGAAAATTTGCTTTCAGCACAGATTCAATCCCTCACTCTGCCCCAAGACTGTCAATAAACACACATTTTAATGATGGCTTTGGTGATGATTTGGATCTAGTATATCCATTCACACATGTCATTAAAGACCCACCAAGCAGTAATGATTTTAAGTCTACGACAAGCAGAGAATTCCAACCACAGATCTGAAAGCACCTGTCTAGAGCTGATTACCACAGCACAGTCCCCAAAGACACCAGTAAGAGTTAATAACAAAACTTCCCCATCCTTGATCGATGGATGATAAAGAATAAGGAAAAACCATCATAACCTTATAAACACAGGTTGCAGTTTTATTCTCTTCCCAGCCCACCTCACACCGGCAAGCCCAGCACACAGGTTTCACACTTAATTTCCTGTGACATTTCTAGTAAACCTAGAATTTAATCCAATTTTTCTATCCCTCAAGAGCCTTCTGTGGACTCCAAGGCATTTGGATCAGAATGTGCATGAGGACAACTGAAAACCCCACCTTTCCAAAATGGCACATTCAGATGACATCAGCCACATCTGCTGCAGGGACACTGTTGAAAGATTTTTTTCATGCTATCTGGGGCAGTAAATTAGAATTCTTGTTGAATATTAATTAAAGAAAACTAACTCAAAAAAATCTTAACTTTTACTGTCATTCATGCTCAAGGTGGTCATTGGTCCTGATCAGGGTGACAGCACAAGACTGTCACTGGACAACTTCGAAGTCCCAGCTCATTACCCTCCCACACCACATGAATGTCCCTTTACCTTCCCTAACTGCTCCCTCATAATTTTAGGTCCAAAATGAATAGTATCTCTTCCTTACCTGCTGGGTAGTAGCATCCTGTTGGACATAAGCCACTTGGGAGGGATCTGTAAACAGAGTCTAGACAAAGTGAAAAAGGCTTATCAAACCAGCCATGGGGGTTTTTACTCCCAACTCACACAAAAGTTACCCTGCCACTACAAAACAACCCGCATTTGAGCCTTTGTCAGCTTCTAACCTGCCTATTACCACAGCAAACTACTTCAACTTACCCAAGCAGACCTACGTACATAGAAATTAAAATTTAGGTAATGCTCCATAAAGAGTTAATATATTTATGCAGCACTTTGTATCTGTACAGCTAAAGTGTTTCACAGTTTTTGGGTTTTTTTTTTTTTTTTTTTTTTTATTTACCAAAATCACTTTGCCAGTTGCTGATTTGATAAAATCTACAGGATGAAATTCAATAGCACTATCTATGCCCTCAATGTGTAACACTTAAAAGCAGGATAGAAGGTAACTGTGAGCATTTTCTTCCTGAAAATTCACAAGACTGCTGCATGCTTTCTTCTGAGGAACTATCCTATGCACATCCTATATGGGATTTTGATATGGCCAAGATGCTGTTTAATTTCATAGATGCCATACCAACTACAATATTCAGCAAGAACAGCCCTGACAGAATCCCAGGAAAAGCAAGACTAAGAATTGACTGAGGCCAGCCTTACTTAGCCAAAACTTGAAAAATCTGAGCTTGCAGCAGCCTGGCTACAATAAAATAAAGCATGGTGCAATACAAATTCCTTTAGCACTGTGAAAATTTCATTTTAGATGCAGAAGAGTGTCTGAGTATTACACATCTTTTGACACAATGACAGCATTCAGAGTTTTGGAGTTAGTTGGCCAGTAACTTCCTGGGAGATATCCTCTCAGGATATCCCTTCACATAGAAGCTGGTTTTCTGGGACAGATGAGAGCTGCACAAGACTTACTGTGCCACATGACGCCCTGCCAGCATGACAGGGGTGTCAGGCACATGCACTTTGCAGCACAGCTAATCTCCCCTGTCAGTAGATATTATAAAACACTCTGGACAAAGCAAGCCTGTTCCTTTTTAATCCGTCCACACAGAGGCAGAGATGCATAGTATATTGACCCCATATAAACATGTGCTGCAAGGGAATAAAGGCTATTTCATATGATTATGCAGAAGAAAATGAATATAAAAGGTCTATAAAATCAGCAACCCTGCAGAGACCACAAAATTACATTGAATAAGCAGAGGTGCTCTGCAAAAAGACATGACTGTTATTATAACTATCAATTATGACAACCGTATTACACAAAACAAAGACTCTTCCAGAAGGAACATATATGGCTCTTAGCTTTTTACTGGATATAAGAGGCAGAACTTCTGGTGAGAGGATCCTTGTTTTGGAAAACACCTTTGAGTAAATTATAATCTCATCCACCTTCAGTGAAGTAACCAGCAGTTCATAATTAATAGCCTCACCATCCTTTGATAAGCAGATTTGCACATCAGACAAATGAACAGCATGAAGTCCCTGCTCAGCAGTGGGCAGAGAAAACTGCTGGGAGCAATTGCCTGCTATTTTCCAGTCATACCACTTGGCTGGTAACTGGCCTTCATCCCAAACAAGATTGTTGTGTTTTCTAGGTGCCAAAACCAGGACGAGCTCAGAACCACACATGCCTGTGTAGCTTCCACGGGGTGGATGTAAACGAGGGTGTGCTCCGAGGTGTCCACAGAGGTGTAGGAGGTGCCGTCAGCCGTGTAAACCACCTGCTGTGCAGGGCCGCGCTCCTGCTCGTCACTGTACATGATCTGGGCCACTGCCCCCCCCTCGGGGACAAAGTGCACCTGGGGAACAAACAGATCCTGGACTCGCACCAACACAGGCCAGTGGGACGCAGCACCAGAGTCACAGGGTGCCTTGGAAAGCAGAGAGAACTTGTGTCCCAACTAATCTGAATGCAGTGAAAAACATATATTTCAAATCTGATTCAATTATTCTACCAACAGAAATCTGGACACAACTCCCATCAGTGTCTGGCTTTACTCTGCATTGCAACTCAAGACGTAACTGCTACAAAGGGCACCCACTCATACTTAGTTCTTGCATGATGCTTTGAAAATTTGTAAGGGAACAAGTTCATATTTTAACTGATGTATCTATTAAATGTATTGGGATATTGTTTCCCTTTATGCTTATATTCCTTTCAGGATTTATGATAATTACTTCATTCAGCTAGTTCTGTAGTTGGAGGCAATTTGTGCTGTCTGATGAGAGGCTAACGGAATTTATTAACTCTGATACTCCTCAAGTTATAGTACTGCAGTTCTCAGTTCTCAGAGCATATTAGACTGCTTTCCTACAGTATGTATGTGCAGCATCAGTAGAAAATTCAACTATTTAAACAAATAAACCTATACCTAAAAACATTAAGCAGAGATTCCAAGGACTACTGGAACAAGTTATGTCTAGGGCTGCACTTTAAATCTAAACAAGTCTGTTTTACCAGAACATTATGATCATAACTGATGATCAGTGACCTATATTAAATGAGACAGACTCCAGTGAAAACAGGAATATCTTTAGCTTTTGCCATCCTTTACATGCTGAAAAGCATTTTCAATGCATACGAAAAACTGGACAGTGAGCAGGAAACCTAGTTTGAATACAAGTATTCATAGTCACATAAAATTCTTTCACATAAAATGATACCACAGTTACATATTTTGTTTTGTTTTTTAGCTTATGCTTCAGAAGACACCTGGTACTCCCCCGTGGATGCTCAGTGCTGATTGCATACAATAAATATTCTCACAAACACTACAATTTCACATTTGGAGAGGACTCTGTAAATACTCATTAAGCCTTAAAACTGCCTCCTGCAAACAGCAGCATGGTCATCCCATTGTAGAGAGAAAGGAACACAGGCCATTGAGAACTGCCTTTCTTTGCAAATTTCAAAGCTGGAAATTACTAAGAGAGGCAGGATTTCTCAGCTTGTGGGTCAAATACCATGCAGCACCCTTTTCCTACCATACTCAAAAGAGTAAATCAATTTACAGAATTCCAGAAATTCCCAGCTGTGTTGTCTCAGAGGCAGAGGGACAAGTTGTATACAGCAGAACCTGACTGCATTAGTCACTTACAATTAATATTTCTCCCTTCCTCATTACCCAGATGTCTGGCTGAAAAAAAATTACTCGTATTAGTTTCCCCAGGGTCCACCCACAGCTCCATCTGATTCAAATGATGCCATCAAAAGCGGCTGCCACTAAGCACAGATTTTGTTCATTACTCTGAACATTCTTTACTCTCCCACATGGTAATAAATGTATTTGGACACTGAAACTTCTATAGCCACTGCTTAGTTTTGTTCAGCTCATTTCAGAGCTCTGTGTCTCCACTGCTGCAGTTTGCACAGTTCAGTTTCTGAAGCTTTAACCTCAAACCACCACAGAAATGTTTGTATTTCTGCTCAAATGAAAGCTGAGCTTCTAGACTCTAAATCAGGGCCAAATGGGAACTAACCCTCCCCACCAATCCCAATCCAGCCCAAGCAGAGGCAGAGCCCTGGCTAATCACCTGTGCAGTGTTCTGGTCCTGTCCGGCAGACTCAGTCCACACCTGAGGACTTTCCTCTTTCAGATCCATCTCCTCCCTGCCTGTGTGCTCCATGAGGAGGAGATCTACTGGAGTAATATCTGGCTGAAGGGATTCATCCGTTCATTGTGTTTCTGCTTCCAGAAGACAGGGTGATCTTCAGCAACATGCCTGTAAAAAAACAGGGAACAGAGACATTAAAACCAGCATGACACATGGCATGGAGCTACCAGGGATTTGTTATTATCCACTACCACACTTCAGTAACACAGAGTAAAGCAGGTTAGGCTTTACAAACACATCCTACAAGACCTCTTAAGTTATGGGAACAAGGGAACAGAAATCTTATCTCACTGAGCATGGTCAAGTCCTACTGGTTCACCACTTTCCATATCCCATTCAGGAGAAACAAATCAACCATTGCACCAATTGCACTGCAAGGTTACACTGAATTCTTCCTGCGTGTCTTTCCTTGGTCACAGACCATCCACAACATCTTCTGCTCATTGTCCTTCTGGCACCTACCAGCCTAGAAATCAATAAATAATGCAAAAATTAGACCTGAGGCTTCCAACAAGAAAACACTATATTCAGAGATGCATCATCAGTTCCTCAGTTTGCCTGAATGAGGTTTTGTTTGAGCACCAACTGGTTTTCCATGTACAGACAGATTTGACCTTGGACAAGACTCCAGTCCCAGGTTAGTACAGCGTTACAATAGCCAACTACTAAAAAGGAATAATGAAACTTAAACTCTCAAAGATCCTGACAAACTGCTTCCAAGCTTGACTTGATTCACCTCTTGCAATTTTACTGGGGCCTCTCAATCTGTCATTGTGATCCCAGAATGGGTAATTTACAGCTCTGGTGATTGAGTTGGTGGTTCAGCACCTTCCCAGTCCTTCATCTCTAATGTTGTATTAAATCACAGGCTAGGAATTAGCATGAGGCTGAGCCCATTTCATTTCTCAGCTACTCCAATTAACTTTATTTTATATCCAGTGCCTTGCTGAGCTGATCCAACACCAGTACCCATCTGTGCACCAGGAAGGGAGCAAAAGGCTCCTTGCTGATGCTTTAATTCATTTGCATTTTAAATGCAAATTATTTTAGTCATAATTTATCCCTATAAATACTAGCATTTGGCTTGTCATTGACAAACTGAAAAATAGATAAGGAGAAGTAAAAAAAGCAGCAGGCACTTTCTGAATCCTCCTAATTTTGCCAGCAAGGACTAAGCTGTGCAGACCTCAGCACTGACTGTTCCACTGGGCCTGGCCAGCATGGATAAATCATCAGGGCAGGGAAGTCTCAGGCTAACGTCACTGAACTGTGCGGTGGAGAAAAAAAATCATGTTACTTACATATAGACAAAGAAAAACAGTACGAAAGATATTTCTGGGCATCACTAGACACCAAGTCTTGCTGTTACTGGTGAATGGAGTTAACACTTGCTGTCTCACTCTGAGCAACCCAGCACACATGAGCCCCACAACAGCAGACATTGAGGAACTGTTCTGACTTTCTCTTATATCCAAACATCTCCAGTTATGGGAATACAGGGACAGAAACCTCATCTCCATTAACATTACTTGATACAAAACATCCCCAAAAAGCACTTATGAGAAAAATTAAAATTAAATCCATGTACCAGCACTCAATTCCTGAGCTAAGTATGAACAAATTAACTGCAGCAAACACAAGTGATAAACACCAGCCTTGTTCTCAAAGTGTGGAAGGTCAGGGCAATTTACAGATAAATATTATTTATTTATATATCCAATTGCACACATGCTCTGATCTATAAATAAATAACATCCATCCCTACACAGAACCTTTCTCCTAGCTACTCGTTATGTTATAAAGGATTAAATTAGAGATTTTCTCAGATCTAATCCTACCTCATTCACTGACCTTCACTCATTTTATCAGGCATATGTTCTTTATTCAGAATATATACATACATCAGGTATATGATCACCTCTACCCATGCGAAACGTGACAGCATTTATGCCAGCAATACACTGTGAACAACTTCTTTGCAAAATGTAACATCTATCCTATTGATATTCTTCAGCTGGTTTATCCACAACAGCTCTTTTCCTAGACTGCCAGTATTAATCAAGAGCCAATTCAGGTAATTGCACTAACAGTAGCCGATAGTTTAATCAATTACCTAACTACTTAGTAAACTAAAAATTAAAAATAAACATTAAAGGTTTCAATTTGGAGTGATTTGATTTTTTTTTTTAATATAATTATCCTGTTAAAAAAGAAACCAATTACATTACCTACTAATTGAATTAAGGGAAAGGCACAGTTCTGGCTAATTCCATATGGCGCAACAAGTAGCAGGATTTTTGGCTGACCTTCCCTACCAGCGGACACGGAAGGTCTGAAGGAAGATGCTGACTCACTCCTGTAGAGTCATTTTGGCACAGATAACTTACAACTTGAGTACAAAGGAGACGGAAGGGTTTAGGCAGGGTCTTTAAAAGAAAAAGCTGGGAACTAAGATTCATCTCTGAAAAAAGAAGTACCAAAAAGTTGGAAAAGAAAGCAGAAGACAGTCATTTAATGGTTCTGAAAGTTAGCACTAACTTAAAATCTTGGGGGAAAATAAAGCAAGACTGAACCAAATTCAGTGCCCCAATGCTGCAGATTCTATAAACAGTCTGGTTATTGGTGTTCTTGACAGTAATGAAAAGAATAAACAGCTCAGCCCAGCTAGTTGTGCAGCAATAAGGGACAATAGTAGGAACTGCAGGATTTGCTGATGCTTTCAACTTCTGTACTTCCAAATTCATCCTAGGATTGACCTCTGGTATGCATTCCCCTCAGTTAGTCTGTAATCATGAAAACACACTGAAAAGCACATTTCCCTGGAAACATGGATGTGCAAAGAAAGAAGACAATGCAGGAGGAGACAGGCCATGTCCCAGAGAGGTCCTGGGGACTGGCAATACAGAGGACAGGAGGCAGGAGCAAGTGTTGAAATTCAGCTGTGGAATAAGCCCTGCAGTCAAGGCCAGAAGCTGGAAAAAATCTTACCCAAAGGCACTGATAATAGAACTGACACAAAATACCAACACCTGAGCAAGTTTTCTGAAGCTGATGACAAGAAGATTAAACAAACTTTGTTCACTATTCTTTCATAGGATGCTCCTCCTCATGAATCCTGCACAATCTTATTTCTTTCCCTAGATCCTGCTCTTAATACCTATTACAGCCCTGACACTGACAGCCACGGTGTTTTGAAATCTTAACCATTCCCCTGTGGTCTTCTCTCAGCTCTGGTAGCTTTTTAGGAGAAATAAATGTGAAACTGTGGACATAAGCATTGCCAAATCACTCGCATGCAGGGAGTGCTCTCTGCTTGCTCTCCACACTGTTTGCCCATGGATTATCCTTTGCAATTGTTGATTTTTCTCACTGTATTGAACACATCAGACTTTTTCAGACAAGCTAAATAAACACCAAGACATGCACCTCAACGGCAAGCTCTGCTGTGTCCAAAGGATTACCGTAAGAATCTGTGTGACAGAAATTGAAACTCAAGTGCAGAAATCCTAAAAGAAAAAGAGATATTTAAAGATAAAAGGCATTGTGATAGGATAAACTCAGTTTTTTTATCAGTATCCATAAAGTAGGCTACATTTTGTAATAAAAATCCTCATGGAGGTTTAGTAAAACAGTAATCCAAACAGCTTTCTTAAACTCACGTTAAATGTACGTGTTATGTATGTCACAACTATATTCCCTCCACTATAAAATATAAGAAGCCTGGCTCAAATTTTTGTTGTTTTTTTTTTTTTTTTAAGTTCTTACTTTTCTGGAAGTTGAAAGATGAGACAATTACAACACATCACCCAATTGTCACCCAAAATTCCACCAGCACCCCAATGCTTTCATACAATACAATGAGCATCACAAACATGAGCAAGAAGCAATGCCAGTGGGAGATGCTAAAGCATTTACAATAACTGCAGACACAGCATTTTCCTCCCCAAATAACAGGCATCCCTCACCCTGTCTGTGCTGGGTGATGACACAAGCTGAACAGTAACAGGCATAACTAAAGAGTACAAATATAGTCCAGTACCACTCCAGTATGGCAGTGGTGAGGCAGTGACACTCCTGTGTCGCTATATATTGTGTGAATCACGACACAACATGATCCAAGAACCAGCACAGCTCCTGTGACTTTGAAATATCTCCTCTAGTGGAATATTAGCTCATTCTGAGCTCTGCAAGTAAATTAACCATCCCTTCAGGACAACACAGGTTTGTCTCAGAACACCATTCACATTTACCTTCCTTTTCTCAACACCTTCTGCAACCTGCTGCTGTCACAGACCTACAACCATCTCTCTTTAGTTGTTGCATTTTACATCTAATCCAGAAAATGTCATTAATAACAAAACTTCTCTGCTGCTCCTGATGCCTCAAAAGAATATTGGTGTCATTGTCTGACAGTTTTCATTTTTTTTTCCAAGTACTCCCTTCTGTTCCTGTGGGATGGTGTTTTCTCTGGAGCTGTGATTATTAAACCAGCAGCTTCCCTATGAATTGCATTCAGCTCCAGAGGATGGGAAAGCACTGCTCAAAGGGGCAAAGCACCTCATTACCTATCCAACAGCAATCTCCTTCTTAGCTTTGCTGCCTCAGCATTAGACACCCTGAGCCACCACAACTCTACATGTCCCCTCACAGGTGCATCCATGATCTCCTCAAAACGCTCAAGAGTGAACAGTGCTGTAAGAGAAAACCACTAACAGCAAAGTCACTGCTCTTTGTGTTTGATGTCCAAGTGTTCTAAACACAAGTTAAACCCAGTGAACTCACCCAGGGCTTCAAAGGTAAGCTCTGAAAGTCAGAAAAAAAACACCACAAAAAAACCTAGAATCAACAATAACCAAATTGGTTTTCTTGGCAAACTTGCTATTAAAGAATGACAATTTCTTTCAATGCTGCGACTACACAAGAATATACAGAGACAAAATCTCTGGGGACTTCATCTGCAGCAACCTCTGTGAGGCTCACTAAGGATATTCTGCTGAAAAATCCAAGCCACTGGCTGCCAAACACTCATTTTTGCCCCTTCTCTGGGATGAGAAAGGGCGAATATTAAAACGGAGCAAGGAGAAAAGACCACCTCCCTGCTCAGGGAGGAATAAAGCCACTCAGTATCTCAAATTAGAATCCACTTTAAAATAACAGTACATAAACCAGCTAATGTGATTTACTCCCCAGTGTAAAAGAGCCTTGCCATAGCCTGAGGTTCCCTGCAGCAATAACACCAGGGACTACCGGCTCCTCCCACAACTGAGCTCACTGACAACTGTGTGTCACCCCGGCCATGTGGAAGGGCAACAAGATCAGTACAAAAGGGGTTTTACGACTCTGAGTCTTCCTCCAGCTTTTAATATGAAAATTATTTATTATTTTCAAAAGGAACATCACATTTGTGTGCAAAGAGCTTCATCCACACTTAAAGTTAATTATCCTAGTTTTGCTAGAAGGCAGTCAGTACATTTCCTGGGAATCCTTTAGCAGGAACATGCTTTCATTCCAGCAAGGAGGTTTGTAACCTCATTGAGGACTGAGTCAGGACTGTCATCACCTCATCTGCATTCCCACCCACCACAGGAACATACTGTTTCAAGGAACTCTGGCCCTGGTGCATTTTGTGTGACTATTATCAATCAGGTAATTTAAAACCACATTATTCATGTTTTACTGGTGAGTTAAAAGTGGAAATCATACTAGGGCTGGGACAGCAAGAATTATTTATCTCCACAAAGGGAAAACTAGCTTCAATTTATTTTGTCATATAATAAATAGAAGAGGTCAGCCAAACACCAACTCACTCTTTGCTGCCATTGTACATAATGAATCTATCTCCTTGCGGCACATCCACCATCAAAGCAGCAATGAGCTGGAAAAGATCTCTTAGACCGAGGCTAGACATCACATGTTACAGTCCTTTTCCTAAAGGGACAGTGCCCAGGTGCTGAAGGTGACAGCACAACAGTCTGATGTAACTATTCTCTCACAACTTATCAGGTAAGTAGCTGAAAATCCATTTCTACCACAGAATACAGGAGAGAATCCAGCCTGAGCAGAGGTTAACATCCTCCTGGGGACTACATAGGCTGCGTTTAGACACCTACTAAGAGATGCTCCAAGGACATCGCTCCTGAGTCCTAATTCTTGTATAATTAAGTATTTCTCACACTGTCCTCTCTCTCAGTGGGCAAAGACTCAATTCTACATACGCAAATCTCTTCTTTAGTCACCTCTCTTCCCATTTGTTCAACATCTACATATTCACTCAAGCAACCAATTTCTTCCTCCCACCCTCAGCTTCCTGAATCTATGGCCACATTCCACATGTTCTTATCTTCCCAATGTTTCATCCTCTGAGGTCCCTGTGGTACCATGGCTGTTGAAACAGATACTGCAGTTTTTGGGCTCCAGCTGCTCGAGGCAGTGACCATGCCTTCCTAAAGGATCTGGTTGATAAATCTCAGGGAGAGAAGTCTGATAAAGCAAGGAAGCATGGAATATATGCATTTAAAGTATAGGATGACACAAAAGGAAAATAAATGTCTGTATCAGTGTCTTTTACAGTTCTGCCCACACAACCTTCAAGATGGCTCTATTAGGGATAACTGAAAGAAAACAAACCATTCCCCTCCAGCTTCTTCCTGCCAAATTTTTGTCTCACATCTCTTCTCCTCCTTCAGTAAACTCTTTCCAAAAGAACTGTCAGTTGGAGGGGTGTGGCAAGTACATTTCTCTCACTCTCAGGATTTTTCATAGAGGTGCACAGAGAGAAATGAAAGAGAAAACAATTTCTATTTCTGTTCCTTGTTTTTCCTATGTGGAATGTGTTGGAGAATTGTTTACCTGGAGTGAGTGCTTGATTGGATTCTGGTGAGGATTGTTTGAGCCAGATGGCCAATCCAACCCACCTGGGGCTGGACTCTCGGGAGAGGGTCACAAGTTGTGTTAGAGTTAGAGAAAGTAGTATGTAGTTTTAGTATCTTCCTTTTTATATAGTATATCAATGTATTTTAGCATAGTTATAATAAAGAAATCATTCAGCCTTCTGAATTGAGTCAGACATCATCATTTCTTCCCATTGGGTTCGCCTGCATTCACAATAGAGGGGATTCTTCCCCTTCCTACAAGGGGGTGGTGCTGCTTCCTCTCTCCTTCCACCCCCTCTGCATCTCTCCTATGAATTTAAATCACCTGTTGTAAAATTCAAAAAAATAAAATGACCTTGTTTCTGCACACAAAAACACATACCTGAGATAACTCCTTCAGAATAGCTGCTGCTCTGCACTACCCCAGAAAACCAATGGACTATCTGCACCTTCAGACAGGTGGGGACTGACATATAGAGCCATTTCAGGGCTATGATACAACAACTGCATGTTTTACTAGCAGGAGATAAAAGCTGTAAATAGACCCAATCTAATGTTCCAAGTCCAAACAAAATCCACCATAAAAAAAACAGCCCACTTAATTAGATACACTTAGAAGTCCATTAGAATTCAGTGTACACAGCTGACAGCAGCTGCAGGTGGTTAGGAACACACTGGAAATGGCTGCTCACTGCAGAGCAATTTACCCCAGGAGAGCTCATCCAAGAATTTTCTGCAAAGGATAGGACTAAGGGTGCCAGAGGAGAGCAGACAATACTACAGGCCCATTTCTCTCTAAAATCAAACTGTCAATTATTCTATCAGATAACAATAATAACAGTTACTCAGGTATCTCATCCAATAAACAAGATAATAAAGCTGTCTCTTCGCACAAGAGAAGCATCCATGAAGCAAAATGCCAAAAGCCATCACAATTTCAGAGAGGAGTCTTCCATTTAAGGGCAGACTAGAACAATACACACTCCTGCATTACTTTTCCTAGAAATGAAGGCTCAAGACTGCCAATTATTTTATTGTGTCCACGAAAGATGCAAAGAATCCTCTTGTAAAATCAGTTGGTGATTCATTAGCATCTCATCTTCTAACTGAACTACAAGAAAAAAAACCCTAAATTATTAAAAATCTGATAGAAGGAAGTAAAAGTTCAGTATAGTCTCTATTCCCATTGAAACTCACAGGGAAACACTGACAGGCGTTTCACACAGCCAGCTTTGCACTTGATCATTCTTTAAAGGCCTGTAAGAACCATAACTATATAACTATGTAGTAATACACTAGACAAGTTGATGCCAAGGTCCCAAAAAGTGCATCGCAAATACTGACCCTTCATTTCACTGTCAGGACTATGACTACTGTTAGCAGCCTAAACCAAGTTTAAATTGTAATTTGGGGACCCTGTAAGAGCCCTCCTCAAGCTCTGCAATGTGCAGCTGAAAGGTAAAAGGTGACCTACACATAGCCCTTGCACAGGGAAATAACCCAAAAAAGGTGAATTATCCCTTCAGGATGAGTAATTCTGAAAGGTACAGCATCAGGACCTCGTTCTTCCATTCAAACTCAACCACTTAACAAACTCGCATAAATTCACTTTATGAACTGGGGCACAGGAGAGGGAGGAAACGGGACAACTCAACACCAATACCCACAGATCAAGATACCCACAAGATCAAGCATCCACTTGCTACAACCATACCCAAGACCACAGGAACAGGGTCTTTGGAACCAAGACCACTGTCAGGAGACCGGTGAACCTCACGGCTTCAACCTGCAGCAACTGCTGCTACTCGTATCAGGACCCTCATGAATGGAACGCCCTCAGGGCAGTGGGGAAGGGCCTAACTTCCCTCAACACCAAGCCTCAGGGCCACCCAGCCATGAGCCTTGTCCGGTTGGGGCCAGAGATGCCCAACAGGTCCCCCGGGGGAAAGAGAACCTCACAAGGACGGAACCCCCAGACCACACCCCAGCACTGCCCCTCACCGGGCACACTGAGGGACCTCCACCCGCACCCCCGATATAGGCTCCGCGGCCACCAACAGCCAATCCGAAGACAGGCTGAGACGCCCCCTCCCCTAACTAGGCCAATAGGAGGAAGGGGCGCGAGGCATGCGGCCAATCAGCAGGCACGAGCGCCCCCCCCGCCCCTTCACACTGCCCGCTTCCCGCCGCCGCACCCCCCCATCCGCCCCCGCCTGAGGGCAGCGGCGCCATCGGCCCCTCGTGAGAGCGCCCGGTGGCCATCCGGCCTCAACCACTGAGGCCCGAGGAGGGACACGGGCGGGCGACCGGGGCAGCGGCTGAGCGAACGGGACGGGCTGGTCGCCGAGGGCGGGGTAGCTGGGCTGAGCGCGGCCCAGAATTATGGTGGAGAGATGAGACACCCCCCCCCCTCCCAGAGCTGGGGAAGCAAAACATGGCTCCGGCACCCCCCCCCCCCCCACCCCGCCGCTCAGGTGTCGGGGTCCGGACCGTACCACGGAGGGAGGGGGAACAAGGGTGGAGGCACCCCCTTCTCCCCGTGTCCGGGGCGGCTGAGGAACCCGGCCGACGCGGGGGGGAAGCGGACTATACCTCTCCCGCGGGGTGTGGGGGGAAGGGAATGAGTACGCCCTACTTCCCTTTCTCTTCCTCCGTTCCCCCCCCCCCGGCCCCCCCTCCCACTGGCGGGAGCGAACGGTTTATCCCGGCCCCGCACCGCCAGCTCCGGGCGCCATCTTGGGTGCGACTAAAACAACAAGTCTAAAACCCCCGGCGGGTCCCCGCGGCGTCCTCGGGCCGCGCTGCCCTCCCGGACCGTCCCATCGCGTTACCTGAGGGGGTCCCGTGCGGGTGCCGCACCTCGGCCGCTGCCGCCGGCCCCGCGGCGGCCTCGAACCCCCCCACCTGTCCTCACCTCACAATGGTAGCTGCAGAGCGGGAGGGGGGGGAGGGGGGGTGGTGGCCGGGTGTCATTACCATAATCTGCCTGGCAACAAGCCGCGGCGTCGCGCGCTGATTGGCTGAAACTCCTCCGCCAGCCACCATGGAGCATAGAACTCAAGAAAAGAGTCGGAGCGCCCAGGTCAGGGGGCTGGGGCGCGGGGGGTAGGGGGGCACACACCCCGATCCGCAGGAGGGGAGCGGGATGGGGGGGGTGGGGGGGGTGTGGTTCTTGGCCCAGATTTTTACTCTCACCGTCGCTTGCTGGCGACCAATCAGAGCCCCTCTCTCATCCGCGCTAGGGGTATCTCTGCCAATCAGGGCGCGCTTTTCATCGCGGCGCTCCGCCCCCGCCTTGGGAGAAGTGCTGTGGGAGCCGCGGGCAGAACCCCCTGCTGGGGGGGAGGGGGTGGGGTAGGGGTAGGGAGGGGCAGGGCAACGACACCTCCGCCTCTCCTCACTCCGAATTTTGAAGGACAGGTAGGGCCGGGCCCGTCTCCCACTCCCTCCTGCATAAGGAGATGACTCACAAACTTCTCGTGGGATCCTATACGCAATTCTCTGCAGCGCCTTCAGCGCTATCTGGCAGCCCCTTGGAGCATAATTACCTAAACTGGTGTCAAAAACAATGGATTCCACTGGAATTTTGCTTAAAGCTGATAAACTAAAAGCTGAAATGTGAGCTATTAATATCTCTTGAAGGTCAACACATGAGAAAATGCTCACAAAAGGGCTCCTTGTGCCTAAAACGTCCCTAAATGGTGCTATAACTTAATTTTTTTCATGATACATGTCTCTTGAGTCCTAAATGTCTGCTCAAAGAAGGATAATAATTACTATTGTTCAAAAATGTAACATTCCAGTGTGGTTAGTGCCATATTTGTGTTTAGTATTTATCTATTTGTATTATAGTGGCAAGGAAAAACATCCCTTTCTTATCACTTGTTTGCCATTAGCACACACTCAGGTAGCTCTTTAATCAAGTAGGTCAGTAGATATTTAAGCCAGACAATCCCTGTGTTTAGGACCTTTTAGTTATATTCTAAATGGCTTCATTGACTGTGTGTAAACCACTGTTCACTGCAGTGTGGGCAGCTGCAGATCCCACAATGGGCCATTATGGGAAACTGACCAAAGCCCAGGAGGACAGATGGGGGAAATTTGGGTTAAATATTAATCACTACTTTTACAGAACTGGTTTTGCTCATGTGCTGGGAGAATAGCGAGAGGGTCAGATCCTGGTGCCATTTAGTGTAACTCCATTAGGTCTGTCCTTTTAAAGCCTGGATTAGACTTTTAAATTAAGAGCTGCTGTTGTAAATTGAAATAATCCCCTGTTGTACTGACCCCCTTCCATGAGCAATCAAAATTTCAAAAACAGCCCACAGAGATACTAATTTTCTAAATTGTGTTTATTATCTTGATATTAAAATGTTAGATATGAGTTTTAAACCTCAAGTCAGCATAATTAATTTAATTTAGAAGTTTGTTTGGGTTTTTTCCCTTAACTATACTTCTTTACATCTCTGGGCAGTTCTCTTAATTTAAATTATGGGAGTCATGGAGCCAATTTATTTCTCTGTCCCATAGAACCAACTTCAATTTCATTATACCATGCTGAAACTTCAGGAGAACAAGTACTACAAGGAAATACATAAAAGCAAACTAAACTGCTTTATTTCTTATACATTTTAAAACTTGCATGTGTTACTTTTTTAAAAAAAAATCAAAGTCCATTTTTATTTGTGTTTTCCAAGAGTCTCCCTAACATTTTTGAAGACTTGGTGGCTCCACCACAAGAGACGTAGTCCTACATTGGAATATAGAACAGTGCCCTTTCCTAAAACAGGGCTCACACTGAAAGTTGTTCTGCAGGTTATTTTTTTCCCTTTGTAGTCAAATCAGTGGAAGTTTGCTGTGGATGCACCAAAGCTGCCAGATGCTGGTCTGATTCATCCCCTGCATTATCTGGCATCTGATGCAATGCCTATTGTAATTCCCACATTTGATGTGTTGTTTCTGATGCTCCAGCACAGGCTTTGTTTCCCCCACAGCCTTGTGCTGGCAGAGAGAGAAGCCTTCACACAAAGTTAATTCATTTATTTCTAATCTGCATTTATCTGCAGTCTGGAAGGTGCTGTAACCCTCCTGAAAATCCTCCTTTCCCTGCTGAGCTCCCAGGCCATCAGATCCATGTCTCCATCCTTGCATCATCTCATTTGGATGCTGCTGCTGCAGAAATTTCTCTCCTTTTGCCTGTTCTGTTTCTTCCCTCTGGTCACTCCACTGTTAATTTTTCCACTAGTTCCCAGATGGAAGCAAGTGTACTGACTGGTTTCTTCCCCCTTTTCAGATTCCATGTGGAAAAGCACACTGGAACTCTACCCCATTTAATTTATTCATTAACATCTTTCTGCTCTCTTTCCCTTGGACCTCCTCACCCCTTCCTTTCACCTAGATAAACCACTCCTAAGTCTCTGCCATAAAAACAAGCCTCCCACACCTGAACCCTAATCCCTAATGCTGCTCCCCAACCCTCTCTCAGACCCCTAGAAAGATCTGATTTCCCCCATCTATATGGATGTTTCAGGTTTTCTTTGGGTTATTGGCATTTTCTCCATGACATAATCCCATTTTGAGGAACATAGAGATTAAATATGACAAAGAAAAATGCTTAAGTCCTCTAAACTCATTTGAGTTACAGAAGGAGCCACTGCCTTCCTGGCCCTGGTGACCTCCCAGTCTCATTCTGTACATGACAAGTAGGTACTTAGGTCTAGATTCCCAAATTAAACTGCACATGGAATTGGGCTATGCTTTGTGGTACCCATTTCCCACCCCCATGCAAGTCAGCAGCTGGCTGTGATTTAAAACTCCAATCAAGAAGATGGAAAAACTTAGCCCCGTCCCCATGTCTGTTACAACCTGCTATATTATAATGCAACTGAAATGTAATTACTTTTCATCCTGCACAGAGAATACAAAACATGAATTCACTAGTTTAGTGTAAGCCACAATAAATTTAAGTGGCATCATATAAAACACATACAAGTACAATAAAGTCGTTTTATTTTGATTCTCAGGATCACTCCTCCCCCAAAAAATTAATCTGTTTTTTTCAAACATGCTGAATGAATCCCTTTAACTGCAAGAAAAAATTGACTAAAACAAGTTTGAGGGTGTTGTAATAGTAGCTACATCAACTCAAAAATTTAAATGAAAAACATACCATTAGCTGAAGTATTTCACCTGATGCATTCACTGTTGGCTTTCTTTTTACTTTATTTGTCCCCAACCAAGTGGCATTTATCCTGCAATTGTTAATAATAAAGAGACACAAAAATAAGCCAATAAACAACTTGCATCATCATTTTCACTGGTCATTTAGTAAAAGATAGAGCAAGTTTTAGGAAAAGGCAGCTTTTCAGTTGACTGAAAATCTATTTAGCAAAGCTCTGCTGGGGTGTTGGGATAGAAAAATTAAGTCCTGATGCCAAAATGCCTTGAGGGAAAATATTTTGCAACTCACATACCAATATCTCCCTGACTCCATTAGAACAATATTTATAAGGGCAGCTGCTGCTCCTGATGATCCCATGGTTTTAAGGAGACATCCATGTTTTAAGGAGATGGAAATCAACTGGGAGTTTGGCATTTCACAGCTTTTGCTGCAAATTCTCTCTTTGCAAGATTCTGCAGGGTTAGAAATGGATTTTTCCTTCTTGTGCTTAGCTGCTCCTGTGGAGCCCCACCCTTTCTGCAGGCAGCATGTTGTTCCAGCCAGCCCAGTTTAGGCAAGTACAGTAACTCCAGTGCAACCCAGTTCTTCTCTGCATTTTCAGACTTGTTCATTCTTGGAGCATTTCCCAGAAATCTGTGCTCGACAGATGTAGTTCAACTTCAAATCCAGGTCAGCTACTTCTTTAGCTGGGATTACTGTTAATTTAGTGCACACATTTCTTCTCTGGGAAGGATCTCTGCGGGATTTGTAATTCTCTCTTCTTCCCTCTCCCCGCGGTCCCTTGTCCCAACCCTGCGTTCCCTTATCACTCCCCCTCGCCGCGCGGTCCGGTCCCTGCCCCCCCACGCCTTTCCCATCGTCGGTCCTGCTTCCCCGGGGTCTCTGGGGTTTCCCTGCCCCTGTCCCCTGCCTCCCGTCCCATCGGCCGCGGCTCCGGTTCCCCCCCACCCCCGGCACGGGGTATAACCGACCCCTGGTCGGTGCCCCGGTGGTCTCAAGAACATGCTTCTACAATAAACACGTGTTTGCACCCGAGCCCCCTGTCGCCATTTCGTCTGTTCCCGCGCTAGAACTGAGCCTCCTCCTGCCGTGCTCCCACAGGCGCCCGCCCGGAGCCGGTCTCGCACGGCAACAGATCTCAGCTACCAAGATCCTGACAGCTCTAAACTGCTAGCACCCAACACTACTGGCTGATTTCCCACTGGAGTTCAGATATCTCCACAACCCAGCCCTGGTTATGTAGAATATTGCCATTAGTAGGAAATAATTTGTGCATCAACTGCAGAGTAAACACAGAGGGTGTTTGGGTTTCCTTTCCATTAATCAGGCCAGAATGACTCAGGAAGCTCTCCATGCTTTGTGATATTTCTGAGTTCACTAGAAATAGTGAAGGTAATATTCTCTATTGAAATTATTACTCTATTTAAAATTATAAAATAATTATTAAAATTGTAGTGCATTATACAAGATTTCTAATTTTTCCAGAAGATTTGTCTCCAGCACTGGGAAAGGACTTGATACAGCCTTTGACAACGTTTTTCAAAATGTAGTGATAAGGTGACAGTTAGCTTTCCTCCACCTGTCAGGAAAGAAGGGATCTTCCTCCTGCTTCTGCATACATTTGGTAGATAAATAAAAGAGGCAACATAAAACCACATTCAGTGATAACTTATGGTAGATGTCTAGACAGCAGCCACATTTTCTTTAAAAAAAATTGTATTTTAAAATTTAATTTAGTACATGTACTAACTCTATACTCTGTTTATCTTGGCTTTTTATAGAACAGCTAAAAGTAAATCTCCTAGCTGGAAAAATTGTATCCTTTTTCAGTATGTATAAGGATAAAAATATTTTTCTGTCACATGGTCAGTCTTTCTCCTGCAGAAGTTAGAAATTAGAAGTCTGACCTTCTGATGGATGTAGGAGCTGGCATAGGGTTTCCAAGCTACCAAATCCTCTCCGTCACAGACACCTCAGTATATAACCTGAGCAGGCTTTCCCTGATGAGAAACTGAGACTTTTATTCTTGCAGTTTTGAACAAGAGACTAAAAACATAACTGAAGACAAGTTGGTTCTTTTTTCTAAAGGCTATTTCTACTTATGGCTTTTGAGTAGGATCTTTATCCTTATCCACAGTGTTTACTCTCCTGATGTGTTTATAGACAGCAGTCACATCCTCACTGAGGTTTGTTTTGTCAGACTACACAAACTGTTTCTTTTGTTTCCTCCTATTCTAGCACATTCCTCATTCCCAGCTGTCTACCCAGCCCCTCTGCTCTAATGGGGCAACAGGGCTTTTACAGAGATTTCATTACAGATTATGCAGTTTTAGAAATTGATTGATTTCTAAAGGCAAAAAACAACCCCTGGGATAGCTCCAGCTCTTATCTAAATGTCTGGATGTCCAAGCTTGTGGAATACTCACCAGTTCCTATTCCATCCTTCAGCACCTATAGAAGATAACTAAGATTCATCTAGATATGACATCCATGAAGCACTCAAAAATAGAGGTCAGCAGGCAAATTCAACAGGATAAGGCAGACCTGAGTCCAGAATTAGAATCAAATTTGCATGTCATGATGTAGGCTGGTAATGAAAGTAAGACAAAATCCATTAGTAATTTACCTAATCTACAGCAATAGCACAGATGTAAGATCCATAGCCAGTTACAGTTGATACTAAGCTAAAACCCAGTACCCCAGTACTCCTCTAGAATTACTCAGACAAGAAGCAGCAGCCCTAAGCTCGGCTTATTAAGACTCCTGGGCTTGTGCTGGGTGGAGGGTAGTCCCAAGTGGAGCTGCTTAGGATCAGGAGGATTTATTAGTGGCCTCTGAAGTCTAACTTAGTGGTGTATTGCTGCTCAGGTGTTAAAGGTAGATCTTAGTCCTGATTTAGTCATGGGTTCTTGGAGAAGTTGGTTTTGGTTTGGATTTTTTTTCGTAAAGGTATAAATCGAGTCTGTCTTAAATATAGTATTTGTATTATTACCCTATTTGTTAAGAGCTTATAAGAATGGTGCACAAAAGAAAATACAGTTGTGGTTGGATTTTTTCCCCTTAATTTAAAGCCTTTACTTAACACAGTCTTAAGTTATTTTTAAATTTTTTATCATAACATTTTAAAAATTAGGTCTTTGGAAAGCAAAACACTGTTGACATTTTCTTATAGCATTCTGAGATTTTAAGTGGAAGAACTCTCCCTTATGGCATGTGGGTGGGGTTGTGTTGCTTGTCACCACCTTGGGGTCTAGGGTTTCCTGTGTGAGTCCTGACCCTGCAGCAGGTGCTGTCTGAGCAGACCCTGGGACTGGTGTCATTTTGGACTGTGGTTCTTTGCAGTCAGATATGGCCTTCAAGAGGGTAGTTGTCTGGGTATAAGAGAAATGTTTGTTTAGTGAGTGATTAGTTTAAAAGGAGAGAATGTTTTCCAACTTAATTGTGTTGGAAGTTAAGTATGTTCCACCCACACTGTAGACAGATATATGAATGCCTTTGAAAACAACTGGTTTAGGAGAACAGGAGGAATCAAATGGAGCAAGTGCCAGGATTTTTCAGGGAGTTAATGCTGCCTTATCTCTGAAGCTGATAAAACCAGAATGGTATCATTCCAGACAGCCATTAAGATTGAAGCTGCAGCCTCTGCCTGTGTGCAGATGTCTACAAGTAAGAAACTTCTGTAGTCACACAGACAGGAAAAGCATAAGAATGTGGTGTTCAGGGAAAAAACACAGAGCTACCCAGAGCAGGAAATGCTGGTAGGTCTTCTGCTGTTCTTCAGTGAAACAACACTGGAGGAAGGATGCAGATACTGCAGCCTGGGAAGAAGTAACAAATTTGCTTCCCCAAAATCTTTTAGTGAACAGAACATAACCTTTTGAGCCAGTCTTTTTTCAGGAAATAATCCTCATTGTCAAAGTTCAGGTGATGTTATCCAGGTGCACCCAAATGTTATGTACTCCAGGTGTGTCGAGGCACCTGGCAAGCCTGACCCAAAACAAAGGTGTTTTTTTCAAAGCAGCAGACTTACATGGTTAAGTTATGACAGGACTTTGCATTTTCCTGTTATTAGGGAATTGTTAAACTGTTGCTTTGAACTGCCGTAACCCCAGCCTGCACATAGTGGAAGAATTCCAGATTTGCTTGCCTGAGCATGAGGCTGAAATTCACAATAAAATATTTGCTGCAGTTCCAGCTGATAGTGCTAGTTTGCATCATGTCGGGTTTGCTCTGCCTTCATTTTGCAGGGATCCCCCTGGAGACTTGTCTCCAGAGTTTTGCTGTTAGAGTACAACTGGTATTTCCCAGGGCTCTTAAATCTGTTTGCTTGGGAAGACTGTCTCTAAAGCCAGTACACCCCACTAGGAGCTCAGTTAGGATCTGGAATCTTCAAGTTTATCAAAAGAGCCAAGATTTTGATCCCTGATTTCCAAAATCTGCTGCTTAATGAGTTCGCCTGAATAATAGGGCATGGTAATAGCAATGGCATTTCTCAAAGCAAATGTTGAGTATTTTTAATCAAGAGACTTGCCAGCTTGCAGGCCCAGCCCCTCAGAAGCTGATTTTTACACTGAAATGTCTTGCCCCTGTGATAAGATTATCTTGAAAGGTATTCTTATAGTTGCTGAGGTATTCAGGAAGGCAAAGAACAGGAATAGGCCTAAGATGACAAGGTCATTTTTCACTACTTGGATCAACTTGATATGGGCTGAATTCATCTCCGTGACGAGTTCTGTTTCACCCGAGAATACCCTAAATGTTGAATGAGCTGCTTCACATCCTAGTGGTTCTCCACAATCTCAAAAGGTTGTAAAGGTGCAGAGAAGAGAATCTGTGGCTGACCCATCTCCGGAAATGTTCACAGCCATGTTGGATAGGGCATGGAGCAACCTGGTCTAGTGGAAGGTGTCCCTGCCCATGGAAGGGGTGGAATGAGACAGACTTTGAGGTCCTTTCCAATCCAAACCATTCTGGGATTCTGTGATTCGCTGTATTCATCTTAGCACTGAATTCCACAGCCTGGCTCCCCTTCTCTGCTATTTTCTTATTAATTCCCTGCAGAACTTGTAGGAACTGTGCTGGTGATGCCTGTTTCTCTTTTTTCCCCATCACTTACCTAGTTTTATTTTTACCTGTTCACTTTCTCTTTTAATGTAGAAAAAAGTATTTTAAAAATAATATTATTTCATTTAGTATAGAGCAACTGCAACACTGCAAAACCACACAGAACGTGTAATTAAGACTAAATGTCAATTCACTATTTCTGTGGCACCTGCTGGGAATTTATCTCCTTTCAAAGTTTTTCTCCAGGTTTTATTTCACAGCTGACATGTTGGTTGATAACAGAAATATGAAATAAAAAGGAGTGAAAGAGCCCTGTGCTGTACAGAATGCTGGCTTCTCTCAGTGTGGAATACTCAATAGTGAATCATGCAATTGTTAAAAAGCTATTGGCAAACACTGGAGTTGAAGGTGGAAAAAAGACATAATGTGCAATATTTTTCCTCCCCTGACTTTAAAGAAACATCTTCCCAACAAAGACAACAACTTACATAGCCATAAACTCATTTGAATCTTATTTTTCATTGCTGTACTTCTTGGATGCTCCTTTGGTAAATCATTTCCTGCCCCGTGCCAGATGCTGTTTCCATTCACAATGAAGTACCAGTCCTCTGTGGGTGATATCATGGTACCATACCACAGCCCTTATTGTGACTTCTCAAATTTACCACACTGAAATACGTTCTTTGTTGATTGTTTGGGGACTTTCAGATCTAGGGTTTGACTGAAGTCAGTCTAATTAAAAAAAAAAAAAAAAAAAAGAAAAAGAAAAAAAAAAAGAGAAGAGAGCCTGGAGAACTCAGACAGTTTGCAATGTGCAAGAAAAACATGGAAACAAAAAGAAGGGCAAAACCAAAAAGTTTTACTATTTCATACATTCTTGTACAGACAGATGGAAAGCTTGAAATAAGGCTTGTATAAGTCATTGTTTTTTTTGAGGTGGTACAAATATTTAATTACTGACCCTGCCAAGAGATCTACCCCTGTGCTTTTTCTAGATGATCCAGCTAATGCTGGATCAGCACATGGTGATGGCCAGGGGAATGCCTGGCTTGAGGGCTGCTCCCCTTTTACCCCCACATGTGCTTCCTGGCCACAACTCTGCACCCATGCGCCAAAGGAAGCATATCCAAATACAAATAATTTCTAGTTTATCAGATTGATCCTAGGTTTACACCCTTCTAAACATAGACCAGGAACTTTGCAGTTGCCTGCTGTGATCTGTAGTTTTTATCTCATGCTGATGCAGTTCCATCTTTTGCTGAGATAAGTCTTATGAAAACTGGTGGATGTGTTTTTGCCAGTGTCTGTGTGCATAGAAGTGATTCTTTTGAAGCATTATGTAAAGATATATGTTCCAGAAGACAGAACAAATAGAAGGAATCTGGTTGAGTTATTTAAGGCCTAATCACTCAAGGAGGGAAATACTCTGAATTTTAACTACAGTTATAACACTTCCATCCCCAGGTCCCTGTAAGGTTGCAGAAGTGTGTCTGTATGTGTATATGTGTTTAGGCATAAATTGATCTAAGAACATAATTATAGATGCTTATTTCCCCCCCATTAGAAGTAAAATGGTAGTTGTGAAAAAGGGAGATGGAAGACTTTTGCAATTGGCTAGCAAATACTGATTTAACATCTTTTCTAAGCAGCTTTTTTTTTTTGTTGTTGTTGCTTTTTAGCCTTCCCAGTTGACAAAGAATTGGCAAATGGGCCTGTCATCCAGCTGTATTTTCAGTAAGTATGGAAAAGGTCTTGATAGATATCTTAACAGAAATGAGGGTGTTATTTATCATACCCAGTAAAATATTGATGTGTTTAAATATGCTGACCTATGAGATTTTAGAAAATAGAAAATCTGGTCAAATTTTGCCCTTATAATTGTCCACTGAGAGTGTACCAAGTAGTATGCTGAGGAAGAATTTAACCAAAAGCAGTTTTGAGGGAAACTATTAAAATACAGATAAATGAAGATGTCTGCTGACCCTAAGAATCTGCATTCATGTGGCAAAGGTTTCATTCTTACACTGCAGTATTTTCTGATATATATTTTTGTATCATCATTTCCCATTTTAAATTCAGCTCTTAAATCCCAAAGGGGAATTAACGACCAGCCATTTGCATTTTAAAGTGAAAACTCAAACCTCAATAGAGTGCTCTACTTAAGACTCCTTTTCTATAACTTAGCCAATGAGCTACGTTTTGGTGGAGACCTTGGGGAGTCAACCAAGTGACTGGGACAAAGCAGGAAAGCCTAGAGTTGGAGAAAGCCTTGTAATTTGCTTCCAAAAATGCTGAATACGCTGATATCAATGTGAAGCTCTCCTTCAAAATGGTGTTTTTCATTATTGTGGGGCAAAATGTCTTTAATGATGGGGGAGAAAAAGAATCTTCAAGCCTTGGCAAGCTGCGATGGCAAAAGACACAGGATGTTCTCTCTTCCTATGAGGGAAAATCATGGTAAAATAAAAGGAGCAATTTCAAATTCAGCCTCTTGCAAGATATGGGAAAAGACTATTGGAAAATTGCAGGACAGGGATTTTGCTAAAGATCTCTTGGGAGCTGACTCATCTTCTGAGAAAATGTGATTCAGAAAGAGGCTCTTCTCCCCCTCAGGCCATAGGATTGGGGTGGAAGTTGTAGGCAGTTCCCTCCTTCCCTTGGAGACACTGGGATTCAGCTTCTACTTACATATCCTAGTTCCTTTCAGCTGTGTCCTGCTCTTTGCCTTTATTCAACTGACACTGACTTCAAATACATGTATTCCTTTATTTCTTATCACCAAGAGAACCTATATTCAAACTTCTTGCTGCCTTAGGAGTTTAAAACCTGCCAAAGTACTGCTACATCTCACTTCTTGAGGCCCTCCAAAGAACTCTGCTTCAAAGGTTATAAAAACCCTGGAGCACAATACAAAGTCTCTCTCTTGAATGAGTTTGTAACTCAATAGTGCTGTAGATCCCTGGGTGTATTTGTGGCACTGAAATAAAAAACCTGCAAGGTCTGCAAATATTAATTCCTGTGCCTGGGATTCCTGTAGCCCAGTGATTTTCCTCCAACTCGCAGTTGCTAAGACTAGGCTGCTGCTGAGAAAAGACCCTACAGTTCCTTCCCAATGTTGGGTCTGGTGATAGTGCCACAGGCAAAGCTGCAGGTCCTGTGTCTCCAGGTGTGCATTTCTAGCACCTAAAGTCAATATTCCTGTGTTGAAATAAGAAGGATGACTCGGTGTTTGAGAACTGTGAGGCCCCAATGATGTTTGTGACAGGAAATGTCTTAATATTTGTTTAAATGGAATGATGCAAACTGCAGCTTTCTGTGCTGATACCAAATTAAAGTAAGGAGGGCATTTTTGGAGTTTTTCTGGTTTTAAGTGCAACAGGAAAAAAAAGCACTTAAAGATACCATGCAGCTGATGAAAAGCTGCAGTTCCCCGTAATTTATATTATCAGATATGATGTGTCTCCTAGACATTTAAAATTCCTTATTGCCTGTTCCTGTGTCATAAGTTCCTCATATACCCTGTTCTTGCAAAATGAGTAAATGCTCAAACAAGTGATTGGGGGTGAAATAAAAGGTGACTTTGGTGTGCCGCGGAACAGCTTGTTAGCACAGGCAATTCTGTGATGCCTGATAGAACAAACAGATGCTGAATCAGACCTATTTGCAGAGGGAGGAATCAATTTTTTGCTGTTGAATTACATTTATCTTCAAAGATGCAAATGATTCTACATTTATTCAGCAGGACAAGTCCTGAGGTTTTTACATTCCATGTTGTTCATTGCTGTGCCATTTGTTATGATGATTTGGCTTTTAATCTACCAATGAATACTGAATGAAGAATTAAATCATGAATCAGATCTCTTCCATTGCTTGCCAGTAACACAAGCCATTTTTATTTTCAATTTCAGCTTTCTTTTACAGTAGAGGACAAAAATAAAATATAAGAGAAAAGAAGTTAAAATTATTCTTCTCAAGCAAGTCTCCTGTATCAATGCTTAATCTTTCCATTATGTCTGATGTTATAAATCATTCTGCTGTAATATTTGACACAATCGTTTGTGGGACAAATTAGGATCTGATATAAAAACTGCAATAATACTGACTTATGTGGAACTGCAGCTAATTATAACATATTTGAATTTTCATCTTTCATTAAAGACCTCTATAAAATGAACAACCGTTCACACTGCTGAAATGACTGAGACAGGCAAACAGGGGAGGGGTGAGGGAGGAAACATCCAAGGACAACAGGAGAAATCTCAGCACCATAATGAGCCAATATCAGTTGTTGATGGATTCTTTTTAATTGTGGGCTTTTTCCCTTTCAGATGGCCTCTCTACCACAGCTGTGGGACTCAACTTATTTAAACTGGAATGGTTTGGTTGCCTTGATTCATGAATGACTGATTCTGCCATCTTCAGAGGTTAAACGTCGCTTCAGCCTTCACAGTGGACTAGAAGAGATAAAGGAGATAGGATGCCATTGCAGGAAGATATGTCTCACTGAGCAAGAGGATGAGAGTTCACTGAATATTTTCTGCAAAGCAGTTTCTCCTTCCTCTCTTCCCACCGTGTCGTCACTGTGCCTTTACTTGTAGACCTCTAGACCCTCAATCTTTTGAGTTCTCTGTGTCAGGTTCAATATTTGTGTTCAGTTCCTTGGAGAAGCATCAGGCATTGCTCTGCCTTGAGATCCTGCCAGTGCTTAAAGCCTCGGATCCATCTGTAGAGAGAAATGAGCAGCATAAATTCCCAGTTTGTGTATTAGCTAAAAAGGTGGTTAGTCTCTGCTATTTCTGCATTTGGGATCCTCAGTCTGAGTGTGGGCTCATTATTCTATTGGATTATATATCAGAAGTAATTTCTTTTCCTGGGAAGTGAATCCTGCATACGTGCAGGTCTATTCTAAAATGGATTCCTTGTTTCTCTCAGATGTTGCTTTTGCCTTGGATAGTCTTCAGAAAAACAAATTGTCTGATTAAGTTTACCGGTTTGCCCCCCATCTAGAAATGAGAGGAGGTCATAGGTTTAGCGCATTTTCTGGATGCTGAGATTCATATGCAGAGTGTTGAAGGAGCAGCATCTTTCTTTAGCAGCCACTCTCTTGTGCTGCCCTTAAGCATCCTGGATTGATGCATTTTTCATTTTCCAATGCAATTGAACCTTTCTGTGCTGATGCTTCAGCAAAGCCATAATATCTTCAAACCTAACAGAAGGGTAATTTTGAAGTTTTCAGTTACAGGAGTGTTAATGCCAGGTTTGTTTCCTTAAATGCTGTAGGCAAGGATTGTGCTGTTTGAGGTGAATACAGCACAAACTACTGTGCAGATCTGCCCACTTCAGACATCTCAGTGGAAGCCAGATGAATAGCACTGTTTCAGGCATGGACCAGAGCAGTGGGAAAATGGCCATCAAGAGTTAAGGGTTTATTGGTATAATGAAGGGTAGATTTTCTCGCTTCCCTGCAAACCCCTTTTAAAGAAGTCTCTGAGCAGAAAAAAAGGCTTGCTGTCCATCACCATTTACTGTCACTTCTTTTCACAGATTTCTGTGCTGTTTTTCTCATGTCTGCAGTTATTCTATTTATCCCTGTTTTTATGGTATGCATCTGTTCTTAGTTATTCTCCATCCTTTCACTCTTCTAAACTTCACTGTATTCCCCTAGAAATCACCTTTTTATTTTTAAGCTCCTGTCTGCCTCTCAGGGTTTCTGCATTTTTTGTTACCATCTTTCTATGGAGCATCTTCTCACTGTATATCTTAAGCCCACTTTCTTTAGCAATTTCCTTCATCTCACTGCTGCTGGACTTCCCTTCATCTTGTGCTCAGTGTGTTGTCATTTTGAGTCACATATGGAAGGCTGAGCTGCAAGGCTTCAGGAACCCTGGGCTTCCACACAGAAGTGCTGCAGCCAAATACAGATGTCTAATTCCAGATGAGGCTGGCAACCTTCTGATGTTATTTATGAGTCTGAAGAAATAATACTTCCCCAGGCACTTAAATAGCTGGATGTTGGATCAAGTTTGAGTTGGCTCATAACAGTTTTGCATTGCTTTCTGCCCTGTACACAGCCTTGATGATAGGTAGAGGTCTTGTCTGAAGGGCAGGATGGCTCCAGATGAGTTGGGGCAGTTAGGTGGACATCCTTTGTGCACTATATTTTTCCTAGAAGCACTGCTTAGTATTTTTTATATTGTTGAATTGTGTTCAGCAGTAGTAATATTGGAGTATGATGGTGATACTCCAATAATTAGCAATAGGGAGTTCTTTACTTAATCCCACCACATTTTTTCGTTGTTTCTAACTTCAGTTTGCATTCTACCTCCTAAAACCCAAATTGACTTAATTCTACCTCTGCAAGCTCTACCTGTCACACAGAACTAGTACGAATGATGAGATCCCCATTTAAATCTTCAATCAAGTTGAGCTGTATAGGATTACAATTCACTGGTTAATTGTACTAATTTTACACTTTAATTTCAGGAATTTAAGAAAATGGTGGGATTCTTCAAAGATTTCCTCACTCCTCCTGAACTCATTCTCTGGGAACTGAAAGGATCTCAATGTATCAGTTTGATAAAGTTGCTGCTTTAATGAGAGACTTAATGTACCAGATGCATTCCTTGATGATTTTTGTTTGCTCTTTTTATCATGAATTTGACATTACTTTTTCAGAGCGCATTTTTGCAATCATAAATATGTGCTTTTTGTTTACACAATCATGGTCTTGCAAGTGAAAAGGGGCAGAGACGTTCACTTGAAACATTTCTTACAGAATAAACATTGGCAGCCAAAGGTAAGGATGAGATTCTCAGTGCTTCATTAGCACAGATGTCCTGGAAAAGGGCACTAAGAGCTTCAGAACTTGGGTAAAATGGGATTCTTGGAAGCAAATGTAAGCTTTCACCTACCTAACAGGTTTTGCAGCAGGAGAGGTGTCCTAGTGAATGCTGCAGCCTTGCAGCATTGATTCAAATTGGTGCTGTTGTCACAGGCAACAGACAAGAACCAGTGCTCACCTGAAATAGACCTGTGCACTGAATTAAACATGGCCATCGTGTCACCATGCCTGCAGTGACATGTGTGGACAGGAGGCACCTGAAAAAAGCCTTTCCATGCTTGAACGCCTTTGGGTTTTTCCTAACTGATGGAATTCCATTTGCATCTTGCTGGAGGCTCTTATCTCAATTTCTCTCCCTGCCATCCTGCAGTCATATAATTTATTTGCATGTAGAGCTCCTGATCATCACCAAGGAATGACCAAGGTCTGGGAGATTAAACCTTTTTTTCTGGGGACTTTTTGTCTGGGTAGGACTGGTCTCTGCATGAAGGGAAATGTGTTATTCTTCAAACTTTGATTTCTCACTTGCATCTTAGGTAGTGAACTGAGCACTGATGGCCTTGCTTTTGAAAGGAATGTCCTGTGTTGCAGCCTTGCTGCAGGACTTCACCTCTTACACCCTGGTGTATCTACAGTGCAGGACTAGGAACAGGTGAGAACGCAGCTAAGGTTGTACCTCATACTTATTGGAGAGACTTTCCCAAGAGTCACCAGATTTAAAGTTTTTCAGAAAAACAAGGATCACACTGTTGGAGTCAGTGCTGTGAACATAAATTCTCACCAAGAACTATGTAAATATTAAAAGAAAATTAATTTATGTAACACTTTAAAGGCTATATAAATTCAACCTCAAATGAAAGTCCCATCTCAAAGATTTATAAAGAACTTGTACATTTTGGACTGGGGAGGAAAAAAATCTGTCCTTTTTAAGTAAAGAGGAAAGCTTAACTCAGAATGTCTTGTTATACTCCTGTATAACAGGAGTTATAAATACTCCTGTATTTATATTGCACATGAAAATATTTATATTAAAATGTGTCAGTTTTCAAAAGCAACTTGTTACTCCGTTTTTCAGCTGAACTTGGCCAGGCTAAAAAGAGAATTATATATGCCAGAGGACTGCAGTAAAATAGATTTAAGGGGTTTCAAATAGTGTAAGAAAGAGACTATAATAAGTGGCCAGTGGACCAGTCAGCAATTTTAATTAAAACTGGGCTGCTTATTGATCTGTTGTACAGATTCATCCCATCTGCAACATTTCAGCAATATTACTATTTCAGAAAACAGCACTTGTAAGAGCCAGTAGAGAATATGGAAGTTTAGAATGGAAATGTTTTGTAACTGACATTTTGTGCTAAGATCTTTTTCCATGTCATTTAAGCACCTCACATATCTTCACACAAAAATGAAAGCAAATATATGGAATGTATAGGATATTCTATCTTTGTCTAGTGGAAGGTGTCCCTGCCCATGGCAGGGGCGTGGAACAAGATGAGCTTTTCCAACCCAAGCTATTCTGTGATTCCATACTGCCTTTCTAACTTAATGCAAATGGGTTCACTGCATGTCAGTATGAAAAAAATCCAAGAAGTCTAAAATATATTGGTATTTTTAAAGATATCATGTTCTTGAAACCAGTGGGATCTTTAGCAGTTGAGTCTTCAAGGTATGAATTTGTCATCTCTGCACTGACCTACATTTCCATTGGGAAAACCAAGGAAAGCACTAAAAAGGGGCCAATAAATGCTCTGCACAGGTGTGTAAGGTCTGTGGTATCAGCAACTGCTCTTGGTAGACCTCCTTTGTTCCTGAAGGGTTTGCTTATTTTGAAATTATAATTATTTAAAATTTCAATTTTTGAAGTAACATGGTGAAATTAAAATACCCTCAATGCAAATCTGGCACAAAAACCTGTTTTTAAAGCCAGAAAGGTGTCCTGAAATAGCAGTGGCAGAACATCTGCACTGGAAGAAACTGCTGCTGTGCTCTGGTTGAAAAGAAACACAAACTGAAGATGGTGATGTGTCTGTTTTTTAATTAAATACGTACATGTTATTTAAAGTTTATGGAGAACTGTGCTGTGTTTACAGAGCTGCTTGTGTGGCAGCACATACGGTATCTTCCAAGAAGTGTCAGGTGAGCACCCGGTGTTGGCAGCAGGATGAAGCCACCAGTGATTATCATTCTTATGGTCCAATAGCTTTTTAAGGAAAAAACAAAAATAAAGAAGGACGTGTGTGTTGAGTTTTATTATGAAACCCAAATGGCTGGGAACTTGATGCTTGCACATGGCTTAAGAACTTTGAGAAATCGGGGGTAGATTTCGAGATGGTTTTTTGAGTGGGAAACATAGTTTTATTTTTACATGAGGAAAACGTCTCATTAGACTTTTATTTTCCCAGAACGTTCCTGCTCGCCGCACTGGTGAGGCGAAGTGTTTAGCCTGAAGATGGCCATAGAGGCCACAGCCTTTTCCGGTGCCCGCTATGCGGGGTTTCACCGCGGGCCGGGTTTCGGTAGCGGCCTGAGGCGGCGAGGAGCAGCCACGCCCCGGCGCCGATGTCCTCGCACGGCTTCCGTCTGCCCCGGCCGCCATTTCCCGCTGGGGGCGGCCCCGCCCGCCATGCGCCTCGTCCCATTGGCTGGTGTGGTTGCGGGGGTGCGGCTACCTGCGGCCTCTGGATTGGCGCGCGCGGCTGTCACTCCGGGGGGCGTGGCCTGGTGAGGCGGGTCCCCTCAGGGCGCAGCGGCCGCAGTTGCGCTCGGGCGGCGGCGGCGGCTGATGGCGGTTGCGATGGGTTCGGCGCTGCTGCTCCTCCTGGCGCTCCTCAGGCCCGCGGCCGCGCTCGCCGGCTACATTGAGGTGTGTGAGGGGTGCGGGGGCGGGCAGGTGGGGCTGCCCCGGGGTACCCGATGCGTAGGCGGGAGGTAAGCGGGATTCGAGGTATTTCGGCTGGTGTGGAGCCACCTTGGATATTGTCCAGCGTCTTTGAGACCTTCTCGGTTGGTGAGGTCGTGTTTTACCGGTGTTTTCGGGAAAGCCGTATGCCTCAGGCCGCTCATCTGGACGGGAAGCACCGTCTCACCGGGATGCTTGGGACTGTTTTTTCGGGGACGTGACCTCGGCATTCTTGGCACGGGAACAGGAGCGGCCAGCTTCAGATGGGTCCAGAAGCATTGAAGACTGTTAGAGGGCCATTCCCTAGAGAAAAACCTGGGTTAAACGAATGCACTTGGTTACTGGTGGATCCAAAAAAAATCTTTTGGTTGGAACTGGTACCTCGGCTTTCGGGGAAGATGCTTCAGCCAAGTGTAAAGGCTATTCATTTCAAGTAGAAATGGCTTAGATGCCCGTAGGAGTCTGTGCTTGTATGTGCGTGTACGTGTAAATACACATGCAGGCACATAAAAGAGTATGCATTACTTTTGTATGTATGAAACACGTATTTTATTTGCATATATGAAAAAAACTGGACAGAAGAAATTCCAGCTTTATTCTAAATCCAAAGGCTCGGTGTAACCTAGCTGTCCAAACCACAAGATGAGTAGGAGAAAATCTTATGGGTTTAAAACCTTGATATTATAACTTTTCTTATTAGAGGGAAGGAGCAAAACAAGGAGCTAAATGTGTGCTGAGCTTCAGAAATGGCAGGTAAAGAGTTTAATAGTCTACACCTGAATGTAGTTTGGAAATGCAAAACAGCTGCCTCAGACTTGTGGATGTTCTGGGTTCTTTAGGGCTGGATAAAGAAAAGGCTTGTGGTTGTTTGTGAATGACTTGATTTGAAACTTTACAGTAAATTTTAGCAAGCTTGGTTAAGCAGAACATCTACCTCAGTATGATGCAAAAATCCAAAGCTCTAAGCTGGTGGTAATTCCTAGCTGGCAATCAACTTGGATATTTTTAATATGTGTTGTATGAAATTGGTCTAGTCCTTGATTTCTGTTTGTTTGGTTGCTATAGAGGAATAGTATTCCACATACTTTGTACCAATCCTTCTGTTAAATTTCTGTAAATCAATGGAACGTGGTTGATAACTATTTGTGGAACAACTCGTGGGGAGGTTATCTTGCAGGAAGGATGGTGGAGCTGCTCTGTCGGCGTGGAACTAATGCCCAAATCAGGTTCCTTGGCATTACCTTGGTGGCAGGGGATTGTCTGATGCTACATCCAATCTCTTGCACCTGTTTGGCAACTCCTCCAGCTGTAAGTCACTTCCTCTCTTACATCCGAGACAAATTTGGCTGCTGTGCACATCTCTTCTGGAATCTGCTGCTTAAGGACATGTGCCATGAAAAATCAGCTTGGAAAACAAATCTAGCTGTCATTTTATTCCAAAGCCTGGTGTCTGTGTGATGAAACATCCTGGGTTTTGTCCGTCCCAGGACTGGAGGGAGAGCAGTTGTGTCACAAGTTGACACTCCAGAAGGGGCTAGCAGCCCCGGAAAGGGGGGTCACTGACCTTTTAGAGAAGGATTAAAATGAAAATGTTCCTGCAATTCAATTTGCATCCTCTGAAGGCATGATAGCCACCTTCATCTGCTGGCGTAAAATGTCAACTGTGGCATTTTAATCCTTATTTTTGCTGCATCCTTTCCCATTGTCTTGTCAGTGGGGGAACTGCAGCTCTCAAGTCTTTATTGCTGTCAGATTTGCTCAAGAACTGTTCTCGATGCGGAGCTTAGGAAGTAAATGGTTTTGTTCTGGGTCTTACACTGTGGTCATTACTGGATTTTTTTTTCAGATAATGTGATGAAAAATATGCAAGCAGTTGGTTTTTTTAAATAAGATATCATTTGAAAGTTATGGAAAACGTGTAACAACATCTGCAGTTATTAGTTCAGCTGGATTGGCATGGTCCCATTAGGTGGATTTTCTGTCTCTTGATTATCTTAGCTCCCATTCCCTGTCCCTGGAACACCCAGTAATCTTCTTATAAACTACAATCTGTTTTTCTTTCTGTCCTGCGCAGAGCAAGGGGAGTGGCACTTTATTTTTTTTCTCTTAAATTATTGTATCTGAACTCTTGACTAGGGTGTTCCCAAGGGTTGGTGCTGGTGACAGTCGGTTTCCCTTTCAGATGATAGTGTGGGGGGATGGCTGATAACCTCTGACAGTCTCTCTTCCAAATGAATATGAATAGAAGAGTTTAGAGAAATCACAGATCCTAGCAACTAATGTGTTTCTTTCTGAATTTTGCTAGTTTTGCATGTGAAGTCCCCAAGAACCTCAAACAGGACACTGATACCAACTGGAAAAAGAAAATAAATCTATGCTAATTAGATCTGTATTCCAATGATAAACTACTTCTGCTATGCCTTCAAGACCTTTGAAGGTGCAAAGTTTTTTTTATTACTTGACGTTTTTGTGTAATCAAATCAAAGGCAATGCAGACTTGATATTACTTTTTTTTGATAACGTTTGATATTTTTCCAAAGCTCTCTTGGATGCTTACATCTGTTACCTGCCTGTTCAAGTCACTAGAATTTGGGGGAAGGGGGGAAAAAAAGCCCTGTGTTTTGCAGCAGAATTTCATGCTATTATTTTTGTCTTGTTATTTGAATTGCTTAAATTTCTCCCTGACAAAAATATCAGCCTTGTGCCATTTCTGCAGACCTTGGGGACTTCTAATTGCCTGCGGCATCGAACAAAGAATTCCATCTAGGGAAATTTCCACTTTGGTGTTTGAGTCCTGAGCAAAAACAGCTCAGGAAAATTCCAGTCTCGAGCCTGTGGCCTTTAGTTTGCTCTCAGTTCCTAAAACTTTGCTGCCTGGTGTTAGGAAATACAGCTTCCTATGAAGGTGATTATATGCAGTGCCTCTTCTATGCTTCAATAGAAGGTCCTCTGAAGCAAAGATATGGAAAGAAAGCAAATCTGATACTGCGGGGAGGCTCTGGATTTTCTGCTGCATTGTAGGATGGCACGTGATGGTAAGTGCTCCTGTTTGGAGGATGCCTTCAGCTCCCCTTGTTTCACCTGTGAAATAATTATCACCTCTGTTAAATGTTATTTAGGCATTAATAGCTCTACCAGGGATTTAATGACTTTTCTGTTAATGTGCTCGTTGTTTCACCGGCAAGTTATTCAAAAGCTGTTCTGTAGGTGGCTTTAGCTGTATTATAATTACACACTGCTTCTCCTCCAGCACCTGGGAGTGCAGGGAAGGATTAATGTAGTTCCCTGTGCTCTACTCAAGTTGTTCTTCTCTCTAGATGTGCCTTGTAAAATTCTGCCATTGCTTTTCCCTGTGTGTGTGTCTTGGAGGCATATGGGCTCCATCTTGGAAGTGTAAGTCACCTTGACTGCAGCCTCTGCTTCTACGCATGTACTTAAGCCAAAACCTTGCTCCTCAGCTGAAAATAGAAGAGAAATACACTATCACTGATGTGCCTATACCTCGCACCCCCAAATTACCAGGCTAGCCCAGATATACGGGGGCCTTGAGAGGAGGTGGATCAGGAGTTGGGCAAAGATTCTAAAGAGGCTTCACTTCCCCCAATGTGGTTAAGCTGTTTATTCCATAAGATGAAGGGGAAAAGAGAGAGAACCAGGATGGGACAGAGCCTTATCTAGGCTGAGGACAGCTCTTTGGTCCTCCACCAAACCCATTGGGGCGGGAAGGAGGGGATCCTACTATCAGGTCCCAGTTACAGGGGTCCTAGTGGGGAGGGAACAACCATTGCCGGAGAGCAATGCAACATATCCCCGTTTATTTCTCATTAGAAGGCAAAGCTTTTCCCATTCTTTTTTTATACTTGGGCATTTCACACTCTGCTCTTTAACTTTCAAAACTGATGCAATCCCCCAGACTCTTGCTCTTGTGCTTCTTCTGTGCAGTAAAACTTGGTGTCATTGTTTTTAAGTTCAGGCAGTCAGGGCATCTGAAACATGGTGTTAATTTAAGATGATACTTGCTCTTAATTGGAAGGCTTTGAATACTCACAATGGCCTAGAAACCCTTCTGGTGAGGCTCCTAATTCAGAACTGTACTTGAAAGTGCAAGATTGCCCCTTTTTGTTTTTTTCCCCAAAACTGTTGTCTGCATCCGCTATGCACA